GCGCGAACCATCAGAAGGCGTTTTTTCAGCTGAAACGTTTCTTCCGTACTCTTTAGTAAGAGATGTTTTTGGTAAGTAAATCTCATCATCTACTGGATAATAATTATTTTTGCTGCCCAAACGTGACGTGTTTGCTGTACAGGTCTGATGAAGAATAGTCGAAATATGCGCTTGTCGACTTCGTGTAGCTACACAAATAGAGAACCAAAATGGCCGCAGACGTTAGAGAGAAGAGTATGCTAATTGCCATCAAAGTAAGAAATAGCATACCATTCTGCACGAAAGCCAATTAGGAAGTGGCATATTGTACTTCAAAAAAGCCTTCAATAGGCTCTTTGCCGTATAAATGTCTACTTGGTGTTGAAAATATGTTTGTCGGGAAACCTAAGCCAAATTAGACCCTGAAACTGTGTCCTCCATATTTTCAACTATCCCCGTAACATTTGCAGGAAAAACTGAGGGTTTAATTAATATACGTCTTAGTAGAATATTTCGATCGCTTTAGAAGTTCGATCACACATCATATGATTAAGCGATCCATAAATACAAGAATGGTTGGAGAACTCACACAATTATCTATACAGCTTCTCATCTGACGGTTTACTACTGCCGCTCAGCTATATGCTACACAAAACTTGATAGGACCATCAGTAGACCACTTTCAAGGATAAATAAAGGCGGAATAAATCCACTGCAAGTGGTCTGAAAGTTTCAATGACTCCTGAAAAGCAGGTTGTGTCTTAAGAAATAAACTCATGAATCAATCATCCTAAAATATGAATTTATCCATTCTTTTACGCGTGAAGTGCACCGAAAGCACAAGTCCCCAAAAGTTACTATGAGCGCATTGAGTCTCGTTCTATTATCCAAAGATGTTTAAATCTATCCAGTCGTTAAAACAGCTAAAATGTGCTTGCCAACTGCAATAGACACTTTTGTGTATCAATTATGTAGGTGGCTGAACTGATGCTACAAAAACCTACACGTAACCCTTTGCAGGAAAAATGTGAACTAGTGCCAAGCTAGATAGTTTTGTAGTCTTGCCTTGTTGATTTTCCGATCTGTAAGTCCATCGAAGAATTTCGGTTCGTACTTCGAGGGCTTCCACGAATGGTTCATGTCAGAAACGAAGGCGACATGCTTTGGTTTTCGTGGACATGTGACCTTTACAATTAACGGACACTTTTGAATAATTTTATACAATCGAATTCTGGAATTAGCGCTTGATAACTTTGTATATTGCCCGTTATATTCCAGCTTTCATGTGAGTTAACAATGTCATTTGATTAGCGGGCTAATATGTAATCATGCATTTACACCCCCCCCCCCTCCGATATACACACGTATTACATTCTTAAAATGCAGATGATGCGCAGTCTTGCACAGGGGAAGTAGCAAACATTTCCTCATGATATTGCATGAATATTAACAGAATGCTATTCACATTAAAACAATCATAGGCAACGGTAGGGCGTACGAAACCCACTAAATTGAGGTAGCCTGCGGATTGTACTATATACGGCAGCTACATAGGATTCTAAAGCCTACCGCTACCTTTTCTTGAACTCCTGGCTGAATGCAAACTTCAGGGCGACAGTTAATCTGAGTTCCGTTTGTTTTTAAATCTGTTTTTCGTTTGTTTCTTTGATTATCGCGCTCACTTTCGTTGACATATGAGAGCTTAAGAAAAGACTTTCGACAGCAATTTAATTGTTATTTGTGTTTTCCTGCATTCCGCCTGCTCTCCGTCCTGCGTTTTGCCTGACCGTAAAACTCCCTCTACCACAATTCCTGGATGACATAGTCCACACGCTACCTAAAGTTAACTTGGGTCATACACCCTACCGTTTCCCGATTATAATTTCTTGATGCGCATAAGTTAACTACCTATGGCATCACTAAAAATAATAATTGTCTGATTTGTGATCAAATTTTCTAAATATATTTAACGACTCCATGATAGAATCAGCAATTTTACCTGGATAAAACAGCAAAAAATGCGGCTTAGACTATTATCCCTCTTCTTTTCCCATTCAAAACCTCGATTACATTTTCCTTTAGATGTCTGCACAGTCGAGTTTGATGGACTTGGAAGTGGTCACTGACGCAAACCAAACGTGCGCATCGTCACCAAAGACAATGTCACTGGTTCCGAAATCCCTAGTCGAAAAGCGGTCTACTGCCAACGGCGGCCTCGTCAAAAACAATGTGCCTCCCTTCGGTCACAACACCCTTCCCGGAACTGTATCCACTACCAACTCCACGTCCACTTTGTCCGGTTCCGCCGCTAAAAACCTCAATAACACCAGCCTTTCTCATCATTCTTACCCTAGACAACCGGGCCAAGGAAACGGCTCGGTGCATGGTGTGATGAGTCTTCACAGGCTACAACGATCAGGCCTCATTCCCAACATTCCATCCAACAACAACCCGAACGGAGGGAAAATGACACTTCCTCAGGTTGTGGCACAGGCGCCGAGTAACGTTGTTGGCAGTGGCGGAAACGTCAGTAGCAGTAACAATAATACACGAACTCTGCCTATTTATACCGCCGCAGTGATACAAGATACGAGCAGTGAAAATATGACTTCACCACAGACCCACAGAACTTCAGAACCTCAGATTGCACACTATGCCACGGTTCGACGTCAAGATGCCGGGTCTGTCTGCAGCGGGGGCGCTGCCGGAAGTGTTAATGTAGGAGGAGGATTTGCAAAACAGTCCGGCCAAACGAACGCTTTTACGCTGATTGCTTACCAGACCCAGGGAGCGCAAACAGGTAAGAATCTGCTCTAAACGTCGTAAGCAGGCGCCCATCTAACAACACTGCGTCTGACTAAATTGCGCAGTACGATGCGGGAAGATGTTTGTGACACGTAGTCGCACTTGTAAATACTGGCGCTTAGCGGACAGAGGGGCCATACAGAATCCGGCACATGATACAATGGCCTAATATGATTGTAGAAAATACTGGTAGTCAAAATCTACATACCCTCTTCCGTCGTGATTCGTTAACTGTACTACTAAGATTATACTTATTTATTCCGTAGCACCAGTCTTTAACAGTCGCACGTGAAGTTTTATAAGGTCCAGGCGCGTTTTGTTTATTCGAAAGGAGTGATCGCAGATTGCTTGCCCTAGGATGTCCTGCTACTCCCTCAAGAGCTTGTATTTAAGGCGTTTTTATTTACTAAATCGTCTGTCCATGTTTAAACAGAGACTGGATTCAGAATGAATCTGCGCCCGAGACCTGTGCAAAGCCTATTACGCAGAGGAGAAGGCTTCGAAAAGATCGTAAGTACGACTGGTCAACTGTGAACAAGGCGTAACAAAGAGAGCTATAACAACTAGTGAACACCGCAAGTGGTGACGTTTACCGCTGACATACGGCGTAGACTCAACAGCAAACGTTGTGTATGAATCAGTTTACAGGGGAGCACACTTGCGCGGTGTCTATCAAACTCTCAACTTACTCACATTGTACCTATGGACGACCGGAGGTGAACGCGGGCAAAATGACTGACAAAGTTGAACAGCCAGTCTACATGTGCCACAGACGATTTCCTCCCACTCCAGATGCAGCAGGTCACAATAGGGACGGATCGAAGTTTGCATAGAAGCCGCATTACCAGGGGGCCATTTCAGTCTGAGCCTCAGTTCTGAGGAGGACTGCGTTTCTCCTTGGTTGGCAACCTTTGAAGCCACGACTCTAATTGCGTCGAACTGTTATAGTAGGTAGCTGGCAGATATGCCTCGAAGATGGACTTCCCATTGTCCGTCTGCCGACTGCCTGAGGCTGGTGACCAGATGATGGTGAAAATGGGTATAATTGTCTACGAGTGCCAAGCACTACTTGATGGCGTTTCATGTGGCCTAAGAGTCTTCGCAGGTTATTTTCGCATGTTCTGGTATTTTTAGTGCGGGAATGCTGCCCGGTGCGTTGAGGAGAGTAGTAGTGCTGGCGCATGTTGTGTGATAGGTTTGTGAGTAAAGTAAGTTGTGTGCAGGTCAAAAGAACCGTAGTGATGTGGTCCGCAAAGTACTACCTTTCTGATGGTTTTCGTGGAATCGCATATGGAGATAGGGCGTATGCGATGACCGAATATTCTAAGGTAGGTGTGTGGTTGGAGTGACGGTCGTACGTTGCCTGACTATTTACGATAAATATGCAATTAAACGATGTGTAAATGAAGCGTTCGGTGGCATTGTGTAAAGAATGGAACTGTATGTTAAACCCTTTTATCCGCGGTGGAGGTATTTCCGGTAATAAATAAGTTGCTTTATGTGGACGGTGCATTGGTCTTCCGAAATTAATGTATGTCAGGCTGCCGAACATGTGGAATAACATAAGGAGTATATTCACTATCTGAATGTCGTGCGACAGTGTGGGCAATTGAAGCCTATATTGTCAATAGGTGACAAGTCTCCAGAACCCTGCATGCCATTCACGGCGCAGTGGACTATACATGTGACGGAGCAAACCAATGAGATATTTGAAGCTGTGGTTGAAGACGTGACAAATGGGAGCCGAATTAAATTTCTAATCAAAGGGGAATGGCGGAGATGTCGGAAAGGATTCTAGGAGCATCCAAAATGACAATGCTGTCAGTAGTAAGATTTTGTGAGATAAGGAACAGATTGATCGTGTTTACACTACACTAGACGTGAATATTACCTATGGGGCCTATTCGTGCCAAGATTTCCCGCTAGTATTGGTGACACGCTGACGTAGGTTTGCAGCTTTTGTCGCTACTTCGCGTCCTTCGAGTCTTCGATCACTTTTTTTGAATTGGTATTTGGTATTCGGTTGTCTTCAAGGGTAACCTTTATGCCTTTGGCAGATGGGCTCTGTACCTGGTGATCTTCAGTGAAGACCCTCAAGTATCCCAACCGACTTGAAGGTGCTTCTAGGGATAGTTAGGGTTATCTGACGAAAGATTTGTTCAGTTTGTCTACGACCACTTTAGTGATTTCATCGTGGTAAAGTAGTGTGGGTTTATCGTCCATTAACGCAAGCGATCGCACCAAGGCATTTTTTTTTATCTACGTCAGTGTAATTTGAATACGGGGGGACGTCCGTTATTTCCGCAGTCTCGATATCCGGTAAGCTTTTCTGCCTCTTTGCCTTTGAGATTCTCCAGAGGCAGCTCAAATGAAACATGATTTCATTTTTCGCATGGCCTTCGAAGGCAGTGCGTCCAGTGCAGGAGCGTTGTCAGTTCAACGACCCCGTACACTCTCGGGCTTGCGCTATACCTGCTTCCGTGGCTTTTGCAGCAGAAATCTTTGGTTCGCTGTAGGTTAGATAGCTCTTGAGATCCAACGTTCCACGTCGTCGTGCACCTATGTTCCTTGAATTTATACATCCTGTGAGTGATAATTTGTATGCTCGTGTGAGACGGTTCCATTGACGGAGATTCTGTGTCTGCTTTGAGGAGTATTTGGCGCTGGGTAACACATGAACATTGCATTTTCCACGCTATTGTTAGTCAGAATTTGGAGCAGCCAGATTGGAAGATATATACAGTTCACTGCATGTTTCCTTCCCTTGTCGGTAGTTTTACTTCGTTTTTTGAATTTACATTGTGCTTCCCTAAAGGGTATCTGTTACCGATTCATGCGCAGACGACTGAGATGTTGGAAAATGCTTCTTAGATTGCACACATTTGCCAGTTCCCATTGCGGTTTTATATGCGGTCAATTGTGAAATCCCTAAATTTTGTAGTTTTTCCCTGTAGTAACATCCCAAAAAACACTGAAATACACCTTACATAATTTGGTGCCATGGTGTTTGTAAATTTCCACCGAGATTTCATCGTCGTCTGGAGCTTTACCGCTGGGCAGTGTCCTACTGCTCGCATTGTCTCCTTGGTGGTGAAAGCAGCTCCGGCGTCTCTTCGCTCAAGAAGGTTACTCGGTATCCACTCCTTACGGTTACCCTTGTCCGGAGAACTGGATAAACAGGCAGCCAGAATTTCCACCTTGTGATGGATTAGTCCGTCTAAAATCGGTCCTGTCCTCCTTTGCAATTAGACTGCCATTGGATTATTTAATAACGCATAAGCAATAGAGGCTGCCATAGAGAGCAATGCCATCTGGCAGTCTGTAGATAGGCAAGAACATTGGAATTGAGGTCCTTTTTACTATTGTTTCGATGGCGGATTTTAAGTCCCCGAGGCATGACCGGCTTGCAAAAAATGTGATTATCCGGCACTTGCTCAGGTTTCCTTTTTGACATACATCCAGAAAACCCAAATATTTTTTCCCACACATGACTACTGAGTATACCCGGCGGCTGCGGGAGTCCACTATGATTTACAAAGTCTCTTTTGGGGGATTCCATTCGAACCACCTCTGGATGTCGCAAAGTAGAAAACCCCTAACAGGTTCATTGATGCGTTTGATGGGGAAAATCAGTGTTCTGCATATGAATGCCTGCTACGACAGTGGCCACGCTTGCTCCAACCGACGTCGACGGTGTCATCAATGCTACTTTTCTAGGGGGAACATTCGACGGTAGTATACCTGCGTCGGGGTGCCCTCAAAAGTGTAGTGTCCTGTAAGGGTCATCCAACCGCTTGGACTAAACGGGAATGACCATAAAGCTTTCTTCGATTCTTTTCGGGGCTATTCTACAGCAGTTGGATCCAAAATATTATTCCAGCCATTTAGGTACAACATTTTGGGGGGTTAGGTACAGTGCTGATCCTTAACTGGTGATATGCAAGTCCAAACGACTTGCCACTAACAGCAGGGAATTCAACTTACTATTACAATATTAAAATCATGACCATTGATGCTTACAGAGCAAACTAACTGGGATAGTCACAGACCAAGACAATGGTAACTAATATTCCAACAAGCACGAATCTTCGTAGCAAAAAACTCTAAGGAACTGCGTGGGAAGCACATAACAGTAATAAACAGGAGTCGGTCCACAAATCTTTTTTCCTTATATTGTCCATTCTTAGTATTTGAGATCCGTCCCTCAATGGGAAGTGTAAATGAGCAAATTCTGCATCACTTTGATAAAAAGTGGATTGAATGAGATATTTTTGTCTCGAAGAAAACACCCAACATTAAAAAACATGCCTTCCTTGGCTCAGACATCTGTGTTTGGAATAGTTCGCCTTGGTTTCCCCTAATATACTTATAGTCGGCGTCCTAGTTAGGCACAGAAATGAATAACGGCGACAACGTTTAAGCATCTCGCCTTTGCTGATCAATCATACTCACCAGTCAGAGCGTAGTCAGTAAAAAGTCGCCATATGGCCTGCAGTTTTTAGTATCAAGGGATTTATTCTATCTGATGACTATTCGTCCTTTTCTAATAGTTATAACACGAAATAGTGGCTTTAAAAGTAAAAACGCCTGTACTGACTGCTTAAACTCAAAGGTTACTTACCGATTTTCTCAAAGATTCTTCTGATCCACAATCCTGCTCATGGTCTACCGTCAATTTTCGTTAGATGTGTCAAAATAGTTGTGCAATAATTAATTATTATCAACTACTACGTCTTTCTCTTCCGGTCTACTTGCAATAAAAAGGCTTAGGAATTAAGAAAAAAGCTCTTTTTACTGATCAGATAGTATTTTCCTGAAATTTACAAAATTAATTAAAATAACTTCTGCAAGTTCCACGATTACATGAAATTTTTCATTCAGACTTTCACAACCAAAAACTGTCCCAGATTCAGTTGATATAATCGGACTGCGAACTCCGCGGTCTACCAATGAAAATATTCCCTCTGACACCTACAAAGAATTAACCCACCAGAAGAAACTATGACCGAGGAGTATGTAGCAAAAGCATTTTGTTTTGCGCCGTTCTAATAGTTCAAGCACATGCACAACCGTCGTACAAAAGTGAAGCAACATTACTGGTTTGCTTTGTTGTCTCTAATGTAGCTTAGTTTTTACTTAACTGCGCACAAAGTTAAACATGGACTGTTTGGACTAACGAACTAAAACCCACACACAGACCAAGCTGTAAAAAACAGCAGAACGTGATTGAGGTTATCTGAAAAAATCTCTTAAATATGCAGGCCACTGTTCCAGAGATTACTTGTCCTTGCTAACTCGCATTTAATAATCGGTCCCAGTGAATACTTTAAATGCACTTTTAAATCAGTCCGGTGAGTTTTGAAGCTATCAGTCCACTGTCGCAACCATTAGATGAAGGGAAAAACATGGTCCGTTAAAAAGACAAAAATAACGCCAAATTCAACCCCCTGGGTTGTAGTTTTAGTCAGAAAAATGCTAAACTTATTTAACTTATTTATTTTATTTATTTATTTCATTTACCAGAAAAAGCTTTGAGAAACATCTTGACTTCTCCAAGTTTACTTTGATTGTTTAAAGGAATGGTAATGTTATACACCCCTAATGGCACAGGCGAACATCCAGTTCAGTTAACCCGAAAAGGATAGTTATATTTTCAAATATATACTAGGAAAACGTGGACATTCGGAAGCTCAATTTTCGAACGATGGAGTCACGTCCCACTTTCTACTATCAGAAATCAGGGCGGGTTCAGAGTCATCTGTTAGCAAGACAGATGAAAAGCTGGAATAAACCTCAGCACTGAAGAACAGAAATGATAAGTCGATAAAGACGCTCACCGAAAACATATCTTCATTTAATTGATAAAAACAGCTTAAACATTAGGATTAAGTGAGCTACTAGCTAGCGTTAGTAGGGATTATTGTGGTGGGGTAATATCTATTGACCGCAGTTGTAGTAAAAGTAATAATTTGATGGAAAGTGTGAAGATTGTAATGATGAGGAATCAGATGCTTGCAGTGGTAGTGGCGGCTGTAAAGTTGTCGATTGGCAGGAGAAAGGAAATTTGATGGGAGCACGAAGAGAAGATGCAAAAATGAAGTCGATGTATACTTAGAATCCCACATCGTCTTTAAGTCTTTCTTATTTTGGAGGTACGCCATTCGCCAAGTGTACAGATGCTACTAGACTGATGTGAAAATGGCATATCTGCGTGGCTTGCACTTTTTAAATTATTTATCCGATTTTGCGTATTTAGCTATCTGCCGCAGAACAGTTGCCCTACTGCTGGCAATGGCCTCTTACCCGAGTAGAATCGAGGCTGGAAAACTGATATGCTTTTATTCGAAGCAGAAAACGTTATAGGCTGAGTTTTCGCACAGCACAAACCCACCTTTCATGGTAAACGGCTCTTAATGCGTCTAGTTCGTCCCATCCCGATGAGGCGCAATAATGACCGGCAAGAATCTTTCCCTTGAGATTTTCTTAGTGGTCGGCCGATCTCGAAACTGACAGTGATGAGAGAACTATGCAAAGTAGAGTGTCAAATTTTTATGTGACCGGAAAGTTTTATATTGTTAGAACCTGTCGAACAGAAGGCGTGTGACTAACATTAGAGTTCATGAACATCACCTGAATGTATGTACACGCAGATGTGGTGGAAGAAGTACCTAGGTGGTGATGTGAAACGCTTCAATGTTCCTTAGCGTTTTACTTTTGCCCTACTAAGACAAACCCCTCCTTAGGTGGTTGTCATTTCTCTCGTTAAAGTTAGACCGCCCACAAGCTTGATAATCATTTTAGTAAACGACGTAAGCAACGTACAAACATCGTTAGGGCACATATTCGACTGCTAACCAGCCTCGGATTTCGAATATTTGTTCGTTCTTAAACATTTATGATGTTGATCTCTCAGAATAAGAATTATTCTGGAGCGGGCAGTACACGCTGGATAGAGTTACCCATATTTGTGAATACCTCTTTCCCAACGGTGTCAACAAAACTGTCATTATTAGACACTTTCGGCACTCATTAGTAAGCAGTGAAAAAGAACATTAGAAAACAAATTGACAAGTCGTGAATAAGATGACTGATGGATACGGTTTTAGGACCAGGAGCAGAAATCACAGCGCTGTAACACAATTATGAAATTTGCGAGCATTCAGACTATTCAGCTTCAAATTAGTCCCTTAACATGTTGCAGTATGTAACAGCTTTCATGGCACACTTAAAAATGCAAACTGTAGGACATTAGCATGATTCTCATGAAACCAGTCTCTGTGTTTAGCATAGTGTGAAATATTCTCAGGCAACCCTTAAATATTTCCAAACAGCCCCCTTGATAACGTTTAATCGGGAGATAGACATATAGTACCTTCTTCCACAAAAGAATGAAGCATGTAAGTTAGCTTCGGATTTTGACTGAAATAATTAAGCGATTCGCATTGTAACGGTGTTCCAGTTTTCTGTTCCGCTGATAAAGAAGAATGTCGTCACTCGGAGGGTTTGTATGGGCATTTCCGCGTGTTTTCCACTTTCTAGTAATTCTATTTCGGTAACTGCTTAATTTCCCGGAAAAATATGTTGGTGGCATTTGCTTAATTTCTTAACAAAATTTGCCGTTAGTGAGAATTCGCTTTTTACCAACTCGCAGAAAAGCCACTTGACATCCACATAGCACTTGAACTTAGATTTTCATAAATACACAACACTATGCTGCGGTTAAAATTTGGATAGTCAAAACAGATACTTGCATTTTATCTTACTTTCCCAAGTCAGTCTTTAAAATCTCTGAATTACGGCACTGGATGATCAAATGGAAACTGGTTTAAGATACATGGGTCGCGACTACCTCTCTTAACTTAAAAGGAAGTGTATTCTGCGAATTTAATACAAAGGAATACCAGTTATACTCACAAGTAACGGGCGTTTTCTCCTTGGTTCGACCGACGGAGCACGTGGCGTAAACTCCCAAGTTCGGCGGTTCAAAAAAATCTTGCATCAGGTTTTCTCAGTGCGTTAATGGTCTGTGTCCATTATTTCCCAAGGAGGTGTGCTAGCCAATGTAACATATCTTAGTAATGATTTACTTCAAACCCATATTTTTGCAGCCCGCGTGGTGTGCCCATTTTTGTCACAAAATGTTTATCCGATCAGTTTTAGGGAAATGAATGTTCTCAAACTGCGTTCTCGCACAGACTACCACTTTCCTAATAAAATGATACTCCGCTAACGAATTCCACTGGCCCGTTGTCTGTACATAAATCTTTCTACTCAATCCATCCTTAGTTCTTATTGTTGGTGGCCTAAAGGCCAGGAATCGACTATGGGTCCGTATGCATGGATATACGAACGCGGTACGATTGAGTTTCCTGCCTCTATCAACAAATCACGCCCTGGTCATGCGATGAGGGATTAAAACAGAACATGGACTCCATCGTTTAAACGAGAGGCGGCTGGATACTATCGGAATACACAGTTAAAACCAAAAATAATTTCACTAACACTAATGTTGACAGACATACCCGTATTGCAATACACGACTTTCAGCTCTTCACATAAGTGTTATAAATTCAGTACGGAGCATATGCAAGCCCCCGTCCCTTTGTTTCTATATAGCATGTGGTCTACTGACAATGTCAAAGGCTGATACAGCCGCACTTTCCATCCGATTCCGTCAATGTTGTTTTCAACCCGGAGTCTTTTGACAAGCTTGCTGGTGCAGTTATCGGCTGCCCAAGGAATGCTCGATGCAAAGCCGTCAAAGTCAGTCATGTGTGTAGTAACTGTTTCAGTCCTTTGGTCCTCTATTGGGCAAGATTCTTTTTCGTAACCGCACCTGTTAGGCGTTGGGGTTGAAGGTTAAGGTCAGGGGTTAGGACTTAGGCTGGGGTCTGTCTGCTATAGGTACGGCTAAGAAATATGATCCGTCCCTCCAGTGGAAAAATTTCAAAACATTCTCGCTGCAGCGTTTGAACTCCCCTACCAAGGAGATGAGCTCGCTGCGGTGCTGAAAAGTGCGCGTGCGGTATTTGTCCAAGCAGAGCACTAGGCAGAAGTTTACGCGTAATTTCGTGCTCTTACTCATTCTTAAGTACGATGTCTTATTCCTCGCACCGATAATAACCATCTTGTCTTCAGGAAACGATGCACAAAAGAAGCAGCAGACGCCAACGGTACTGTATGCTATTCCGGCCAATCAGGCCCTGCAGCATCAACATGCGCACCAGCTACATCAGCACGTTATTCAGACTTCCACTGGACCAATGATTGTCCACTCCGCACAGTTGGCCAGCTTGCAACGACAGCAGGGAATTGCCGCCGGACTAATTGGTCAGCCCCCCGGGCATGCCCAGGGGAAAATAGTTGGGGTAGTGCAGACTGCAGCCCTAGCTACGCCTTCGACGACTTCTACGCCTCCCCCCACGGCATGCGAGGGGACATTGGGACAAAGACCCCTTTCAGGAGGTGCTGCAAAAGCGAGTGGGAGAATCGGTGAATTAGTCTGCACGTGTCCCCCGGAGCTTCACCAGGGTAAGTTGGATGAAAGGCTCAACTCGCAGCTGAATGTGTCTAGTTGGATCACATGATTAATACATGCGTCCCCCGCTCGGCTGACAAGGTCCAAACTATCAGGAGCGAGGGCTGCAACCAAGTGTTACGTACTGTGTCGCTAACCCTGAACAGCGCATGTCCGGTTGGAATGATTACATGCGCAGCGTGTGGTGCAATGATGCAGAAAATTGGACCGTCTCGGTGTATTCAGTGATTTCCGAAAGTTTAAGGGCTGGAGGAAAAGACATCATTTAAAGAAACGAAAGTCAGAGCCAAGACAGTTTGCTTCCTCTATTCACTTTAAGTGCCTTTGGCCCTAGTATCCCTACACGGTGTGGCACTGACGGCTTCGTAGGACGCAGTTTTAACTTGTCAATAGAGTACGATGGGACAACAACTACAGCATATCGTAATTTGTAAACTTGCCCATTTGCTCGCTACTAATTGATGTCCATATGGCATTCAGCATGCAAATACTATGTTTGATGAGAGGAATTTCACCATCATTTTTTCTAACCAAGAAATGTGGTCAGTTCCCCGGTACTCATTGCCAACCGAGTGCTGCATACCGATAACGCACTTGAGCGAATAACCTTCTAATCCATACAGCTTCGAAAAGCAATCCAGCGCTTTCAAGCCCACATTTTCGGTTTCGTAAGGTTGGGGTGCGCGAGACGTCCTCCTTATTAGATATTATCTGATCGTCAGTGTTAAATATGCCTTTGTTTTATTAGTTGTAACATGTAAGAAATCTATGCTGAGAAGCAGATAACACAATCAGGTTTTTAACTGTAAAGGCAGCCAAATTAAAAATAATTTCATAACGGAGCGGTTGTTATCTGTAGAGTATCCAAAACAAAAAAGTCAGGAAATTACACTTTGTAACCAGTACTTTCAATCTCGTCTGTTTTGTTCTGTTGACTTTTAGCTTCGTTCCACTAGAATTCAGGGCGAAAGAGCACTTACTAGGCCTTGTATTTTATGAGTCAGAGGGATTTTTCTAGGCATGTGTATGTCAGATGGAAGTTAGGCCGAAAAACCGGATATAGACTTTAGCTCAAGGGAATCCTGTTTCAGTTTCACGTCTGGCAAGCATAGTAGAAGTGAAAAATCTCCTCGGAATTTCTTCGTTTACATCTTATTTTTTTAAGGCGTTAGCATTAACCAGCCACTGGACGTAGTGGGTACCAGAAGGCTGCAGTGGCTGTGAGGTAGGCGATGCCACAGATAGGCTTACAAGCTATCTTATGGAGAAGCAGGTAACTTGACACCGGCATAAGACGGGGGTCTACTGCCACGGTAGAGGCACGAGATAAACGCACGCCTGACCACCTAGATCAGCACGTAAAGAGGGGCAGCAGAGCGCTAACTCTCAAAAGAACTCTCAAGCGAATTGAACTCAGGAGACACACGTAACTACCTTCCGATCACACTGATGGCCAAAGCCTAGCGTGCTCATAAGAAGTAGGCAGAATCAGGTTTCGTTAATCAGTTTTCACCGTTTCCTGGACTGTGCGCTGTTGTAAAAGCAATATACGCCACTAGTTACCTGTGGTCAGTGCCTAGTGGATAAGAAGTAACTTAACAACGTATATACGGATTTTATGGCAACATGTATTGGCGGTTAAATATGCGCACTGACGATGCGATGCTGTAGAATGATATTCCGTGTCATATCTGATATTGTACGACATCTGTGTTTTCGTAGGTGGTTGATAAGAAGTCATGTACCTTAAGTTGGCATTAATATTTTATCGTGCATCAAATAGCCATAGGGAATTCACGTTTGACATCACCGACTACTTGTTAAAAGCCCGCTCATACGACCTTAATCAGCATTAGCTACTACAGAGTAGCGATAACATATTCTTAAACTGTCAGCGCACCTCCGACAAATACGTGGGGTGATCAAGTGTCACTCGCGTATTTGTTAGAAACACCATTTCCAGGTCCAAATGTTTATTCAAGTCACAAGGTGTACGGAAAAGTGAAACTTGCTGTAATCTCCTTTTGTGAAAAAAGATGCAATACAAAAATGACGTCAAACTTTAGCTCTGATATGCTGTTACTGATATAAAATATTCCGACAAAAGCAATGGAGACTGGGATGGCCATTTCTTCTTATTAACTGTCATCAATCAGGCATAGCCAGCCCTAGTCGTGGGTGGTCTTAGGCTCGAACTATTAATCCAATAGTAGTAATACAAATTTTGGCAGACAAACCTCCGCGCGAGGAGGCGCTAGCTTCCCCATTTTTTAATAATCAGTGGTGTTTTGCGGGTATGCTAGATTTTGTTAAAATGGTTTGATTTTCCCTTGGAAGCGGTAGAAGACGCTTTACCGTTGACTTCTGGACTACGACATGTAAACATGTCCCAGCGCGTGGATCGACGTCGCATGTTGATGACCATGGGAAACGTTTAAGATGACGAAAATAATCTATACAACGCAGAAAAAGAGTTTCGGCCGCCGACACAGGCACTTTATTTGTCAGTTACTAGGTACTCACTGCCTAATGGCTCTGTGGTGCAGCCCGCGAATTAAGGTATTCGAGACCACGCATAGAAGCTTATCTTTCCGATTATTTGGCTTAGAGTCTGTAATTATTGTCTGTTAGCCGTTGCCTATCTTGGTTATGATTAAGGGCTTGTTTAAGCAGATAATGTCGCAAGTGTACCCTAACCAAACATTAACCACACCGAACTCCGTACCAATGCCAATGGAACTTACCCCACAGCAATGGAAACATTTGCGTGCCCCATGTGTACGATTTTCAGAAGCATCGAGATGGAAGACAACATCATGGGTCGGATATCTAAAGTTATCCAGGCCTTCGGCCGTCTAAAGCACTCTATCTAAAACCGTCGCGGCATCCTACTCAACACAAAACTCCGGATGCATAGGGACATCGCGCTTGTGTGGGGCGGAGACTGGACTGTTTAAGAGAGCCAAGCAAGAAGACAACCATTTTCACCTCAGCTGGCTCCGAAGAATACTGCGGAGTTAAAGTGACAGGAAAGGATTCCTGAAATCCCAGTATCCACGCCATGTTGAGATAAATACAACAGCAATGGAGCGCCACATTGTGAGGACGTACGACGGGCGGCCGCCCAGGCGGCTATCCTATGACGACTTAAATGCGGGCGGTCGCAAACAAGGCGAATAAAAGTGTCACCAGAAGGACACATCGAAGACCTCATTCAAGCTCCTACAACTCAACCCGGAAGATCCGGGAACACCTCGCCAAAGATCGTCAGGCGCGGCAGACTGTCGTAAAGACCGGAGCCAACCCAATAGCCATTGCTAAGGCAATGAGAGGAGTCCGCAAGACGCAAATGCACGCATCAACGACGCAAGCATCCAAGCTCTGCCACCGTGTGCACAATGATAGCAGACGTTCCGCGCATGAATATTTCCCTTTGGACACGTGCAGACCTAGTGCAATGTCAACACGACAAACCCATCCCTCATCTCACGACACAAAACCACTACCGCGACAATTAGCAGCACTAGTGTCGACTCTCCTGCCGATATACAAAAAAATACCACAACTGTCCCTTCGGAAAACAATGCGGATTGTTTCTAAACCGTCGACATCACAATGGCACTTTAGCATCAACCACAGATCTGGTCGATTGCTCGTGAATCTATAGCACAGAGCCGGCGAACCACTTATTTAGCTCCGGCATACACCCACCCTGCACTCTCCATCTGCCTCAAATGCTCCAGGCCATTCATACACCGCATGAATCTAATTAGTCATAAGCATACCTGTGACAGCAGAATTTGCCGCAAAGTCATCGTGAAAAAATAACTCCCTATGCCTGAAAACCCCTATGCCACTAGCACTACCAATTCATCCACTACCACCAGCATCGCTATCACTGCCAAAGCGCCGGCTCACGAACCACAGGCCAATCCTGACCCTTCGGTAAACGCGCATTTGTATAAAGTATCGGCTCGACTGAACACCTGAAAATCCGCCGTCATCAGACTGAAATACCAATCCCAGGAGCCTTAATGTACAGCTGTCGCACCCGATTCACTTGCATACACTGTCCAGGGATATCCCACCATTTAATGCGCCTATTTGGCCATATGCTCCTTCGTGAAAACTGCGGTGGAACACCGCAGACCCTATCCCACTAGCCCACACATCCTACACGAACTCGCCTGTCACCTGGGTTACTAACTCGGTATTCGAGATATGTACTATGTGTATATGAAATAACCGTGTCGATCGCCAGTAGTAAGGCTTGATGGTTCCTTATTACTGTGCCCCCAACGACCCTCCTACGAACGTGAGGTTCAAGTCGTCCTGAATTTTGTGAGGACCCGTTATATTGTAAGGAGCAACATGGTCGCATGCGGACCTTGTAGACGGGATCATGTAGCTGTCAGCCATTTAGTCCTAACCCACTTTCGATGGTCCTGACACCGTCTAGCGGTCGGGTTATTGTGGTTGAGGGAGCAAAGAGTGGGATGGATGCAACGCAAGTCTGACTTACTATAAACTACTTCACGCGCAAGTCCTCGGTGCCGCGTTCACCCCGTGGCGAAATCAGTGGTCGTCGCCCGTTTCGTTCGAACTCTCAACTACTACAACTATCAGGTCATATTCCGATTAGACATAGATGCCAGGAAGGGGGTGGATTAAATATTGCCTAAAGACAGGAGGAGCAGCGGCGAAAGCTCTGTTAGAATGTCTACCCAAATGGAGCTGGCGGCCACTGCGTTTCACAATGTCTAGGTGGGTCGGATTAGTGTTTATGTTCGTCTTGGGAGAATGCCCCAAAACTGAACCATTTTGGTACTGACGTGAGGGCGTGCGAACGAATACTGTCGCGTGACGGCTGGCGCTGGGAGCAGAATAGCCACCATGCAAGTATACTTTTCATCCCAGTGATTAGAAAATGCTGCTTCGCTAAAACATGTCTTGCCTTGGACTCGAATTCTTGTTGATAAATTAAAAAATGATCAGACAGTCCTGCCCACAGAAGAGAGTGTTATCATCGAGACATGAGTATTTGTACTCCCACGCACAGTATACCGGAATGTCTTCTGTACTGCGAACGTTAAGGGACCTGCGCATGCACGTGATTGGTCCGTCGTCTGCTAGCGACAGCACCAGTGACATCTTAACACCATCTAGTGGTGAGTCATGCATGTCCGTCCGGTGAGCGTTCGCACCACGGCGTCCTCGTGGTGACTGCCGCACCGGGTATCGCACGCCTCGCCATACACCCGTCTGATTGTGCTCTTGGCCGGCATTGACGCAGAGATCGTTTGATCCGATACTGAACGACGTGAGAATTGATAAAACAGTCCCTGCAATCGCCTTGCTGTGCATCCATCAACTCAGCCCGCTGCGTCGACTGTGATAGGGTCATATTCGCGTCCAGTTTACGCGACGCCGTTAACGCTGGGTGCACAATTTGAACTACAAGCTGGTGTTCGTGTATTTACTTTTGCGGTTGGTAGGCAGCATTCCCTCTAAGTGCAGTAGGAATCAGTTGTTTGTTGTCAGGCTATGAGCAACTCAAGTCTAGCGACGGCTCGAGGAGCAATCTCAGAGACATCTTTTGAGTTCACAAGACTCCAACGAGAAAAAGGCTTTCCGTTTCCCCACGTGGATGACTACGACTTATTTCCATGAGTATTTGCGAATATTAACTAAACCAAAGGCACATTCGAGGATAATTATTCTCAGTCCCTTTGGCTGCTTTGATGGACAATGGGTTTCCATTCACCATCACGGCCTTCGAAGTGAAGTCTTTATGTGTTTGCCGATGATTTCTACAGCATATACTTACCTAAAGTGTGATTTTCAACAATGTTGACTTCCGACGACAACCGCAATGGAAATGAGTTTCTCCTGTTCCTTTATTTATATTAAAACGTAATTCCAGCAAACAGGATTTCAATTGTCCATTACCTGACGCAACGAAATCCGTTCTTGTTAAAGAACGCTGGTGGCTGGTTGAGCTTTTGGAAGTCCTATTTACTTGGCAGTGGGTGAGCTCGGGAATCACATGTGTGAGCACTTTGCCTACGCCCGTAGCTCAACCGAAGAACGCAGGCAGCACAGCCCTGCCATCAAATTGATCGCAATTGCACCGATCAGCATCGGCCACTGTTATAAAATATTTCAGAAGTATTTGCTAACGTGAAATAACTGAAGGCCGCAGAACACACTCACAGGTGCCCTTCGGGCATAGCGGGAACAAGAGTTAAATATTCAGTCCGTCAACGAACAAGAAAGCTTTGCCAGCTTCCAAAGTGCTATCAACGGTGGGGACCAGAATGTGACGTAACACATGAAACATTAACGAAATTTCCGTCTGTGGTAGAAGCGATTGCTCAGTTGGGAATGTGATGTTGATTATCATACAGCTCAATCTCGGGAAATTGCATTCGTGGCCGAATGTCGGCGTTTTAGTGCGTTTTCGTCCACTCACTTGTGCAAATCTTGATCGTTAAAAAGTGGTCACCCAAACAAAGTTAACTTTTTCATTGGTTTTAGTTGTCTTCATAAACCTACGAATATTTTATAGAGAACACGGACAATGCACTTTTTCGTGTGCTATACTTGCACCAACTTACGTTTTCCTTAAATTGCCCAATCAAAAAGAGTACCACCCGGTTTTAAAACGATTTAGGGTTCTCGGATAATTTGAAATTTAGTCCCTTGCATCTAGTTTTAGAGCCTGCAAACCTTTGTCTACTAACTTTTTATTTAGAAAAATAATATACTCCTTTCTAGTGATAATGGGACGCCAAAGAGTGCTGAGATAATCTTAAGGGAACATGAGTCCCGCTGTATGCTATATGAGAAACACTCGTAAGCAGAAATACACGATGACTTCCTAAAAGGTCTCCCACTTCATGTTTTTTTTTAAACCGGACGATATCTCTTTTCTGGCGGACAGTTTGAAGAAAATGCAATATACTGAAGCATTGGCCTTAGTCAAGATACTCTGTAACGTATATTTGGATCAGTTAAAGCATTGAATATCAAAAGAAAAATTGTATTACTCAAGTAGCAAGTTTTAGCGAGCATGATTTTAGGGTAACCGTAAAGATGCGTATTCAAAACTGAATGATGATAAATCTTGCAAACGTACCTAGGTAAGGTTGGACAAGCTTTTGTAAAGCATAGTTCTAGTGTTTGGTTGATTAATTGTGGTAGATGGGACATTCAACGTTAAATAAGATCTTTGCTTATCAATAATATTTGCCTTTAGGGAATATCGCCTCATCGGATGTGCTCATTTTCTGAGACCATATCCAATTTAAGACGCAATTTTATACATTTAAAAGGAGGTGAGGCATTCAGGAAGTGCGCTAGATTATTTATTAAACAAGCAGCCGTCGCAAACGCCTTTTGTGGCATGCAGAGGTAGAGACCAGCTAGTTGTTCTGAAGTATTGCTACTCATTGTGAGCTGTAACTACGAAAACTGGTTACTGCGCGGACGACAGGACGTGATATTAAGTAAATTTATATCGGGGGTCGGGAGCATTTGTGCAGTTTTGTTAACGTCCAGACCATATGCCCAGCTCCTCTTATTGGAACCTCGGACATAGTCACTGCTGGTCGTGGTACTTGCAAGTCTCTCCTTCTGTAGGCAATCACAGTTTTATGTACTGAATTGCCTGAAATTTTTGGTATTTAGGCCGTATTCATATTCATTCTGCAGCCCTAGCAGAACAACAGCAAAGACAACAGAATCAGCAGAACGCTCTTCTACTGAATCGATCGAACCAGTTATCTGACGCAGCACCCTTACACCCCCAACCATTCTCTGCTCAATCTGAACAGAAACCTTACCACGGCAGGTAAATTTACATATTTTGTTGTCATGTCTTTGAATTTTAGCTCACATGTTACGTCTGCGATCATTCAAATTTTTCAAAAGTTTTCTTTACTGAAACATGCTGAAGATAGCAAACGCGTCAAGAAAAAATTGGCACATTCCGGTAGAGGTTGTAAACATGCCGTAAAACAGAGCCGACTTTGTTTCCAAACACCAATAGTCCAGCTCATGAACACTTGGGTGGGTTTTTGATCCCATTTGATTACTTTCTCAACCTCGACCAAAATCGACTCCGTTATTTGACGGTCCTCGTATCCCTGTAGGTTCGTCATGAAATGAGCGTCTCTGAACTTTATCACATTTTCTTTTATAGAATACCGACGCGAAGTCTTCTTGCTTAAGTCAAAATTTAGTTTGATTGCAACTTTTGAAATAAATTTTAATATATCCACTCATAGAAACAGCTGAGCTGCACTTCTGCTGATTTTTCTTATATAAAAGCAAACCTAAAAATAATCAAAAGGGTGCTGTAAAAATTAAGAAGTCGACTTATAAAACATAAACTAAAAATTCACAATCACATCCGGGGAGTCCCGTTAACAGTCACCAGCATTGTCTAGTTTGAGCATTCGGGCTAACTAGTCTCTCGTCACTTTTTTCCGCCATAAAACTGTCATACTCGACCTCCGGTCCATTACTACCTGAAGTTAGAATGCGGACCCATGCGGTTTTCCAGGTGTTATCTTTCATATAAGCCAGAGGGTCGCCTATTGTTAGCTGTAGTCAGTTATCTTTAAATGGGCATGGAAGTAGTGATCGCTGATTTGCCATAGTCTGAGGATAAGTGTCAGACTCTCTTGCAGCCAGAAACCTGTATCGCATTTTCCCTATTCTCTGTCGTTAATACCACTTTAGTGTTCATTGCTCGTCGGCATACGACCGGCGTTCCAAAGCCAAATAAGATGTACCTTGTTCTGAGCCGTAATCTCCTTTACTTGCATGCGACTGCGTCATAGTTGACCAGTTAAGGTCCAGAACGGTCTTTAGCACTGCGGTGATGCCGAATGGCGCTGACAGTTTTTGACCTTATCTTGCCTTCTTGCTGATGATGTCCTAAACTAGAAAGCTAATTCTGTTCATTGACAACATTAGAGCGACTTAAAATGAAGCATCAAACGATAGCAGCCAATAAACTCAATGAGCACCAGAATTCTGCAGTCACTGGATGCTTTCGTCATAGAGCTTAGAGGCATGCGCTTTGTATGGCAAAATAACGAATCAATGGTTTTTTACCTAACTGCCAGATCAGCATTAGTGAAGGGAAAGTAGCCCATTGTTTCCATTAAAAAATAATCAGACCGATGGCAGAATGTTATTACCGACAAAACGGAACGAGTGAGTTCCGTAAGAACGATCGGGGAGCGCCCCTCCACCACTTTTTATTCCCGATCGAAACCAACAGGACAAAGAGCGCGTAGCTCAGTGGTTAGAGCCGTTGAACGTCTAACTAACAGGTCGCGAGTTCGAGCTCCAAGTGTTACACACCCCGGGGTTGGGTAGGACTGGCTGACGACAACGAATAAGCCCAAAATGACCATTCCAGTCTCCCTTGTCTTTGTCAGTAATCACATTCTGCCTACATCATGCACCGCTGTGTGGCTGCCGACTAGGCTCGAGGGAGAGAGAGAGCAAGTAAGGCACACTAGAACGAGTGACTTCCGTAAGAACGATCGGTGAGCGTCCCTCATCAAACAGATTCATATATCAAGATTTTTGGAATTGAAGTTCAAGTAGCAGGCCCACCAATTCTTCCCAAAACCTGAAATGTACATCAAGGAGGACGGTTTGAGATTTGGCTTTTGAAACACGGTATTCACCAGCGTTATCAGAATTGCGCGGCCCGCTAGACAGACTGCCTGCCCGCCAACCAACATTTAGGAAGGTAATATACTTGGGACTCTCTTCCGAACTTAGTGAAGCTGCCACACAGTAATTGCCTAAGTTGCCGATACTCCTGGCGATGTAAATTTGGAACATGCATAAAGCGTGTGTCAAGGAGGTTTCAGGTTATTACACTTAGTTTATGTTCACCGAAACTCAAAGTTCGAACAGATGATCTTTCGAATGCACTAGGCACACTTCATTATCTGCTACCTTTACCATGGCGCACATTCCGTAAATACGTGACAGACACAAACCGGCTTTTACCATCTGTGCTAGATTTGTTGTCTGCTTGCCAATGCAGCACTCTACAAGACGGATGTTCGAGAATTCGGCGTATCCCACTAATGCACACTCTACCAGCATAAACAAAACTCGTTTAGACCTTCGACGAACGCAAAACACTTAGATCGACTCCCCTAAATGTAATGCATGCATGGACTGCAAGTGTGAGTGTGTTTCCTCGTGCAGTACCTCCTTGTTTACTTAAACTCCAGATAAGTCAGTTCTTATACTGCAAAAAATAAACTACTTTCTGGAATTGCGTGGCATTTTCTTTAAAATGAAGGGGCAAGACGTCCTTTTATTTTTGTATATTAATGGACACCCGTCCGCTAGACCACATAACTACTCCACTGATGACGCCGGGACTTTAGCTTTTTACATTTTTCGATGATTTCTTCTTTGCAGGAGGGATAAAGGTTAAATCTCTTCAACAGCATCTGGGATTTGTCCTTTACACAAACACTTTACTCCTGATAATGCTTTATATGACCTTCTCAATCGTATATGTAAATAGGAGTTTGCACGTATTTTGTTGGAAACTTCGTATCAACTGAGCTACAGTTATTCGACCTTAAGCTTTCAATGACTTTCATAATGAATACCTGTCTAAGAAGAAGCTTCATCACATATTTCTCTTCTGAATTTATACAGACCTTTAGCAAGGTGTTTCATGTCCTAAGGAACAGGGGCTAAATGGAAAGAAACTTTGACGTGCAGTATGCTTTTTATTCGCTTATACTCAAAAAGAAGTTTGCATAAGGATGTGACGGTAAAGAGATGCTGGCATCAATAGGGCACCGAAATCTATTTGACCCTTTTCACGTGTTAATAACCTAGACAGAAAAAGTAACGTCCACAGTAAGCATAACGCTCACTGCTCGTACATATAAACCGATTGTGGTTTTAAATATATCAGCAAGCATTTCTAAGCATGAGCAGTCCTTTCACTGATACGAACCGCCTAAATTCTTTTGCTATGCTCACATTTTAATACGGTCATTGCGTTTTAATAGGCATGGCATAATTTCTCGGTGTGTTCTCTAGCAACGTATAATAAGAGCGTTCTACGATTTCTCGCCATAGTATGACCAGTACTACTAACAGTTTCAACGTCATTGCGAAGAGTGACGCTTGCGGCTCCCTGTGCGAACGTATTTTGAGATACGTGTGCAATCGGGATGTCATTTTGCCGTTTGCAAATATCTTCTAGTTTGAAATTCTATCTTAGCCCCCTTGTATGTATTATGGTCTTATCGTATTTTAAATATCCCATTAGAGTTTCAAAATTATCAGCGAGCATTTCTTAAGGGAGAGTTTCTGATATAATTGTAACAGTCACTACGGCCGAACTTGCATTTTACCAGAATCTGTGCTGCTACACATTGAGCTACATTTCCTTACAAAGTTTTGAGCTTTAGTTTGCCGCTAGGAAAATCTGTTCTTCTAGCAGAAATAACTTTTCCAAAACTCTAAGAGTACTATGCTTAACTTTTTTGTTCCCACCATACTCAAAATAAAAATTGAGCCCATTCTAATAGCTAGCGAATGGAAGACAGATTTTTTCCCATATTATGACACTGGCGTTAGTAACAACTGGGCAACTAATCAAAACAGGTGAATGTCAACGAAACGATACCTAGACGTATTTATTTAATACAGAACGAATGAAGGTCAAACAACTATGCAGAAATTTCTACACTGAGCCTTTTCCGTGTCTGTTTTCCTGATTCCAGCCTAGAAGTTTAGGACTCTATTTTACACACTTTGTGTTAAGTATAATTCAGGTAACGTGCAATTCTAACTGACGTCACGGAAAAAGAAGAGGCGTTTAGACAAAATTAGGTGCTGCCCACGAAGTTGAAGTTTGGTGGTGCTAACCCTTTGTCAAAAGAAATAAGTAATGGCGGGTCAGATTTCCAGAATAGAGCCTTTGGTAGGGTAGAGTTACATCAAAAAGCCTACGTCCAAGACAGTATGATGGGCAATAGGTCATTTAAGTGCCAGAGTAGGGATTTAATCTGACTTTTTGTTCGAAAAGGAGAAAAATGAAAGCAGTAAGAATAAGTATTCGGACATAAGTTAGCACCTGCTGCTTTAAGGTCAGTGACCCGTGCACTCAGACCTTCGTAGTGAGCACTCAGAACGACACAGTTATTCATACTACTTGAGTTAAAGTACCAAGCCCGAGAAATTCCAATATCTATCCTTTACCGATCATTACGATCGTTTTAGTGCAGTTTAAGCGTCATATCAACGAACACATTATGGAGTTTTGAGTCGCAGTTACGAACTTATAGCCACCAACACACCCAGTTAGCTGTATCAGTAGCACCGGGCCCACGTACGCCAATCATCCTTTCCGATCATTAACAATATTAGAGTTCTTTCGTAAACCTTTTGTAGTTTTAACTAGATTTTATCTTAGCCAGAGGTAAATAGCATAAGACTGTTCCCATTATTAAAAGAGAAAAGTCGTTTCGGCTTGTAATCATCAGGCGTGTAGGTTCAATGGGTCAGAGGTAGTCAAGTATTGACATGTGACAGTTGTTTTCACCAGTTCACCCCAATTTCATTCTGGGATGAGAGCCGATTTCATCGTGGCACAGATCTCCAGATATAGAGCCCACCTGTATGAAAAGCTCATTTTGAATCAACAGTGCGCCTTCATGTATATTTGAAATAGCAATTAAAAAGGATCATTTTAGTGTTCCTATATTTGCTGGTTATTTTTTAAACATATCTATTTGCTTGGCCGCTGTAAATCGGCCTTGTGAAACCAACTGCTGACAGCTCCTTTATTACTACTGCAAAATGGCATAGGCGAGTATCCTCATGATAGTAATTTCAGGAATACAGCTACTGACAATCCAACTCGAGCCAATCTGGCATTACGACATATAACGAGCATGCTGGTGTAACAATATGACCTTATGTGTCCTTATTCGGCTTGCCGAGCCGCTTTGGACAGGTATCATCGGGAAAATCTGTCCATATTTTTCCCGAGTTATTGCTCGTCTCATCTTTTCCCATCTAATTTCCTCAAAAACCCCTCAATACAATCAACTGAGCCGAATAACTGCATTGACGGGGACCGACAGCTGCTGCGACATCCGTCTAATAAGGAGCGGACCGTAGAGAAGGCTTGGTGATCAACAGTGCGTTGTGACACATGTCTATCAATCCACGGCCCGGGCGGCAGGGCAGAGCAAAAGAAATTGCCCTGATCCCATCCTCGCGGCAGTTCTCCCCAGCTGTAGCCAACTTGGCAACCAGCGCTTCGGCAAGCTTTGGGCATTTTTTCGAGCCGGCGGTCGGAGCGCGGCTGGAATTACGACCTTCGCACACCTGCACACGCTTTGGCCTTCAGTGGCCAGGCATGGCAGCTGGCAGCGATGGGCAGACAGCAACCATGCCGGCCCGAGTCTGTCAGATTTTTCTGGCGCAGGCGGTGTGCGAAAGTTCAGCAGGAAGCGGAGGCAGTCTGATACTAGAGAGCTTGCTAGACACAATGGCCACAAGCTGAAATGCGAATAGAATCATTACGTTTTCTTTTAACGCTAGTCCTTCCATTCGCATTCTGACCTCAGGACTTTGAGAAAAGCAACCTAAACCTAAAGTGATGAGGACTGCGTGGTGCGATTGTCGTAGGCCAAAAGGAGTATCTGTTAATTTTTTTCTCCTAGACCAGATTACTAGAATATATGGTTTGGTGTCATTGCACGCCCGTTGCAGCCAGTTATACGCACGAAAGTAAGGCAATTTTTTTCTAAGGTAGGCTTACGTCGTCTTAAGAAAAGTATACTTATCTAAGGTAGTTCTCTGTATGCTGGGGTCTCATGATATTATCGAGTGGACATTAAAAGATGTGCCGAAATGTGCTAGGTCATTTATTGCGCCTAAGAGAGAGAAGTGATAAATTCTCTTAGGCCTATGATAGACACTTTTTGCGTACATTATGTCGACAGATTTGTTTTCAAAAATTTTGAAATAGCTTGCTCTCTGCGGCAGGGATTGTAACATTTTCACTAAAATTGTGAAGTTGTCACTAAGCGTGTGAGTCAGCAAATGTAGGTTTTCCAGTACTTAAATGCGAGGCAAGATTCTTAAAGATAAACCATCACGTTTGCTTGCAAGTTCACTGACGCTCAGTGTTATGAGGCATCCAACTACGATTAAATATTTAAATGCCTCGACTATTTTTCCACGAGTTATGAAGCTCGGTCATGTTTATTGGCTGGGGATTCGTAGATGAGTGAAAATGAATATAATCATAAAAGCTTTCTCAGAAATATCTATTTGAAATCTGTTTAAACTGGCAGACTCTGTTTGTAAGATCCTCCAGTAATTAAGCATGTTCTGGTTGGGTGTCAACCCACAGTCGACGATGAAAATATTCTATAAAAGAAAAGGAGAGTTTCGGCTCGTAAGCGTCCAGAAACTTTTACCGTGAACCGACATCGGATCGCAGATGCTGGAAAGGGACCTTGCATACTTGTCCACTGCGCACTCGGTTTCGCACCTGCCGGTTGTGCCTACTAGTTAATATTGCCTAAAATTAGGGGCGAATTTTATGATTTAAAACAACGGTTCTACTAATATTGCTGGGTGAACTGGTTGTCCACAGAGGATTTCTACCTGGGGTAGACCTCAGTAACCTTCCAGTGCAAATCAAGATGTAAGGAATTCTGATTAATTATCTTTCTTGACGCGCGTACTTTTGGTATCTCAGAGAGCTGTGCGGAGCACAAGGCAAAATTTCGGATGATTAATAGTCTGATATTTTATGCCTCTTCGGGTTTCCTATGCATGCCTTAAATTTACATAAGCCAATATTCTAGATATTCAGACTGCCAGACCTACCGAGGATTTCTTGCAATACTATGTTCTCCCCCAAAGATGATTTTGTCTCATGTTAGATGATCATGTTCATTTTTACGGAAGCACAGTCAAAAGATGTAGATGCCAGCAAATTTTGTTACAGCTGCTCCTGTGCCTTTTGCGGTATAGCAGACTTTGGTAGTGAAGACTTTAGATTTAATTGCCCTTATTCGAATTCTTTTTACCATTGCGAGCAGCGAATTCAGAATGTCAACATTACTGTCTTTTAGGACTTTGATTGCTCGCGAGTGCCAGGTTTTTACTTAGCAGTCCCCCTTGTCGAGCACAACGATGAATCTGCAGAATAACCAATTCAGTCGTCGTCCTTATCTCTTTAAGTGCCTTTTGAGCTTCTGTTAGTAACGCGTGAGTTTTATGGTGTTACATGGGCGGCGAGATGACGTAAGGTAAACTTAGATCTTCCGGCTCATTGATGTTGGAGGTGCTTCTCGAAAAGCCCCCTAAAGCGCAAACCTGAATTATTGATACACTACGATTTGGAACGCATTACAGCACACCAGACAATTAAGGGGCTCAGCCACTGCGCCTTCATAGTTTCTTTACGAACAATGGATACCCACATCATTTTATTGAACAAAGCAGGCAGCGAGCGAAAAGGAGACAGCTAATGCAGCAGCAACTCGAAATCTGACGAACCACTATCTACCTTAAGACGCGTTGCAACTTATCGACGCATCGACAGTTGCCTATATTGCAATATTGGGGACAGCAAATGCATTAGGGAAATCAGACGGAAATTGCAGAGGCACCTACAGGTGCGCAAATTAACAATTCGGAGTGCAGAGTAAGACTCGCAACTTGCAATGTGCAGTCGAGAATTAAGGCCTTTTTGTCCTCTGGAAAACGAGTACCTTAATTCGAGGTAGCTCAATGACAGAGCGGTTAACAAATGAAACGTAGTTCTTTGATTTCGATTCTATCGAGAAGCATGCTGACCTTTCTCTGGCTTATAAATTTGTACGTCATTGCGCACACAAAAGTAAGTACAAAATCACTATACTTAACTTAATAAAACCGACAAGATATTGGCCGACAACGAGTTTCCGTGACATGAGAGTGGCCGAGCCACTTAACTAGCCTTAACCATCCTCTTCGACTCAACTACCAATGTATGCAGTTGTCGAACTCACAGAGACCGCTTAAGTCGTAGGCGTATCCCTGTCGCTACGACCCTCAGGCCCAGTCTCGAGTAGGAAGAGCAGCAATTAGGTGACTTTGGCTGTGATACGATGAGCATAGTACATTTCTTTAACAATAGAGAAGCTCCTAAAGTGTTGACATGACTTTTCCAAAGGCATTGATCAAGAGTTTGGCACCCATGTTGCTCAGAAATTAACCTGTTTTATAATATGCACGTTCTGTTTTCGCTTGTTGCGGCATAGATTTTAATATTTACCACGGACTATAGTTTCAGCTCATTCTCCAGAAGAATCGTTCTTGCACCGTTGACATTGCAATTACAACATAAATAAAAATTAAGTCGATGAGCAAAACCCCAAGTTCATTTGAGTTACAAGTGACCCTCAAGTATGACCAATTACGTGCGATGTGCTCTATCTTACCTGAATGGCCAACGGCCGAACTGTACTTCAGAACATTTCAATGTGCAGTGATTCTTTCTCCACCACTTAGACCGTGCCCTATTAGTTTTACCCCTCCTGACCTCACACATGTGTAACTCTATGTATATTGCAAAAACGGATAGTTTCAAATGGTGTAGGGTACCCTCTGTCTACAATCTCTGTAAACTCTGCATCTCTAGTGCCTCTATCGGCCAAGAGGCTAGTCGAAATGCCACTCTGCAATCCAGTCAGCAAACATTTGGACGGCTCTAATTTACGATATAAAGCTTTTGCAATTCTCCCTTACAATAAAAACCGTCATATCTCGGTCTACCATCAGAGCAGTTGCATGCTTCACTCCTCCACCAATGTTACTGGAATGAGTCGCATTCTTGTTAAACTCTGCAATCATGCCCATGTAAATATTGAAGAGGTCAAACTCGGCAAACTTTTGTCTTTGATTATTCCTCGTCAGGCCTACAGAACAGTCTAAGTTACGGAAGAGCAGCAAAACTCGAAAACAGCCAATCAACAGCAGTCATGATGGAATGGGGGTTGAGGGCGTTAAGGCACGTCACACCTAGGAGTAATCGCAGAAAGGGTCGTGGAAGGAGGGAGAAGGGGAAGGAAATCTGCCAACGAATAATGCCTGCCTTGAAGAAGGAGAGAAGATCGCCAGGACAAGAGCTTTACTAGCCTTACGTTTCAGATTCCTACTCGAATCCATCATCAGATACAAAAAAGCAGAAACGGGTGGTTGTTGCACAAGGAACTGCGGTATTTATAGGATGCAGTAGCTATGCTACCGCATACCTATGAACATTCACGGCTCCCCCCTTCATCCGGGATTGTTACACTTGGTGTGATCATTGCTTGATGGCCGACATTCGAGTCGATAATTGCTGCAATTTCATCACGTGCGTTGGTTGTTGGCGTGATGATTGCTCGACCATCTGACGCACCGACCCGGGTGTTGGGATAAGTGTTCACCTCTGCCCTCCCCGCATGGCTTGTTACTCTGCCTAGGCGAAGTTTAGCACGGAGTATGGAATGGGAAGCTCGTTGCACTTGTTGATAGACTGGGGGCCAGTAAACCATGATTCCAGTAGCTCCCGGCTCACGCGGTTGTCAGATCTTGCGAGAATTTCGGCCTCATCGAATTTGAATGTGTGGCCGAATCTCGTCGAATGGGCCGCAACTTGAGAGCTGGCGTCATTTCTGCGCACCGCTGCCGCGTGTTCGGCCATTCTCGTTCGGAGCTGTCTTCCGGTTTCTCCGACGTAGTTGCTTTGTCCGCAACTGCACCAGATCCGATAAACGACTCCAGACGTTTCTAGCCGTGGCAGTGGGTCTTTCGGTTTCATGATCAGACGCCTGATGGTTGCCTCCGGTCTGTGTGCCATTCCAATCCCAAGTGGTGCGAGAAGGCGGCCGACAGCTTCCGAAACGTTCTTGACATACGGAAGTGCCCGCCAAGACTTGGTGTCCGTGCGGTTAGGCCTTTCGTCCCTTTTGCGTATGCACCGGTCGACGAAGTTGCGCGGGTAGCCAGTGGCTTAGAAGACCCGTCGGAGGTATTGTAGTTCAGCAATTTTGTCTTTTGGCTCACTGCAGTGCGTTTCGACACGACGATAGAGCGTCCTTACACAACTGCGTTTGTGGCTGATTGGGTGGTTACTGTTGAAGTTCAGTACTTGCATCGTATTTGTCGCTTTCCTGAACACTTTGGTTTTTAGTTCACCACGCACGTGATGAAATTGCAGCAATTATCGACTCGAATGCCGGCCATCAAGCAATGATCATACCAAGTGCGACGATCCCGGATAAAGGGGGGAGCCGTGAATGTTCATAGGTATGCGGTATCATGGCTACTGCCTCCTTTAAATACCGCAGCCCCTTGTGCAACAACCACCCGTTTCTGCTTTTTTGTCTCTGATGATGGATTCGAGTAGGAATCCGAAACGTCAGGCTAGTAAAGCTCTTGTCCCGGCGATCGTGTCTCCTTCTTCAAGACTACTTCCTGGGACTCGTCTCTTCGCGTCTATTGAATAATGCCTGAGTTTCGTCAGTACAATCACTGACATGTCTGACTGTACCCCGTTCCCATATAATTGTACTGGTCTGAAGAGGATTTATGAAAGCAACGTGTACACGCCAACTCGTCTTCTGAATGCTACTATGGGAATTTTCGCAACCCCAATGTCATTGTCCACACAACAGCAACTGAAGGCGCAGATGTACATCGAAGAGGTCTAAAAGAGCAGCCTATCTTTACCTGTGAGGCGATAAAGCGGAGTACTTGGCGGCTGGATACGTAAGCGCAATAGCACAGTTCCGACGACTTTGCAGAAAGTCGTTGATCAGGTATCCTCAAACGGTAATGCGAAGAAAACCTCCTTCATTTTAGTCATCGGCACTCCGTTTTTTGGCGGACGTTCTTGATTTTATCTCGTGGTACATATATTCTGGAAGTCATTTTCTAGTGGAGTGCCTCTTATAAATGCCTGTTTGTTCCGCTGTGTATCCGCTGTACGTCCTCTCTTAGCTCGGTAGGTTACGAAGAGGACGGAGTTGCATTTCTGACTTAGAGGGATTGAACTGTAGAAATTTCTATATTGGCCTGCCCACGTTTTCTTGCGAAATACACCTCTACAAATTGTTTCTTCAGAGATCCAGAAAAGGAAGATATTCTCTCTCCTTCCTCACAAGGAACGTTGTGGCTGCATGGTCAAACCAACCCCATTCGTTATCAAAAATGTCATCAAAATATCGAGAAGATGAGCTGAGCATTTTAGGACTGAATATGGTCTATCCTTCTAGTTTTCCTGTGGACACGTGCGCTAGAAGGGGCGCAGGAGGTGGTTCATCGCTAAGTCGTCGACATGGCGGTAAAATCGGCCATCGAATCTGAATCGAGTATTCTGTGTATAGCGAATGAGAAACTCCTTTGGGACCGCAACCGGTGCATCAAGTGGAAAATCCTGACCAACAGTCTCATCACAAATAATCAATTGTATTCATGAGGAGACTGTTGGTTAACGACTGCGAAACATCTAAAGATAGCGCTAATTTATTTCTGGGGTTTGTCTCTATAACGCAAGTTATGGATCAAAAAGTCCCGGTAGTCTGTGTTGTGTTGCTTTGTCTCGAGTCGGCTTAAGTCTTTCGGTCAACCACGCTGCAGTTATGTGGTAAAATAAATTGCCCACGTCTAGTATTAGCCGCATGGAAAGGTAGGATTTGTGAATCGTTGACAAACCAGACAACCTTGGATGCTTGTGCTGGTGGGCTCGTGAGAATCGAATTTTACTTTAGTAAAGGAACCTTGGTTTTTTCATTTTCCGGAGATGTGTTGCAAGCAAAACTTTTATAAATTCGGCTTGATTCTTTCGAACCTAGTCTAATCAGCTAGGACTGACTCGATGTTCGATATACAAGCATTTTTGGTAGAATGATCAGGTTAGAAATTGAAAAATTTCTTTAGAGTATCTCATTTTGCATCTGTACCTTTAGAACTTCAATATGCTCTGCTTTGGAACTGTGTTCTCTTTCGGTTGTCGGAAGATGCTTTCTATTCTAAATAAACAGAAAGTTAAATTTTCGTTCCAATTAGCTCGTTTGTCCTACTGAAATGTGAACTTATCTAAAGGCAAATTGAGAATCCTCTAAATTCTCCTCAGCCAGCCCATACTAGCATTCGCTTTTGTCCATATCAAAAATGGTAAACTAATCAACAGAATTTTAATGGTAACTACGGCCAAAATATCCTCACTTTCGGGAAATATTGTTGCAGTTTTTAACATGCGGTTTCTTTACCCCAGGTTCATATTTGCGCGAAATTCTACACACATGACTTTCAGCATTAAGGCCCTTCTTATTTTAGTAGCAAAAGTAGTCAGAATTATTCTGTTTTCTTTCTACAGTTTTCTCGGAACTGACTGTGCACCATGTCAAGCTGAGAGGGAAGCCACCCTACTAAGCAATGGAGGCAAACCCGGTCAAACACAACCCTTTGCTTGGGGCAACAGAGTCATTAGTGAAGGCTGTACAGATACCTGTTTACCATGCAGAAACCAGAATTCCGATGCAGAATCACAAGTCAGTTATCTTGTTGCACTCTTCCAGGCGTTGAAGGCCTCCGGCGTACATGCTGATTCCTTCAGCAGCGCCCTATGTCGACTGGGCATCACGGCAGGCGAGAAAGGTATGACAATTGTAGACACTCCCTAAATGCCTATTTGTCAGTATCCAATGTAAAAACTATTGTGCAGCGTCACAACACACCAGAAATCTGCACTCGCTTACAATCATAAGACAAATAAAAGAGTCTACAAGTATTGCATCTCAATTTCGTGCAGGCGGGACACGAGCAAAAAACGCGATGCAGGAAGCAGGTGAAAAGGAGGGAGCTCCTTCGTAGGGACACGTTGGCACCCTTCGCCTCGGATTCACTCTAGAACCCATCATGACCGACAGCGACAGAAAACGGTGTTGGAGCCAAAAGGATTGCCCTCTGCATACTCAGTAATGGCTACTTAGACAAAATCTACCGAATGCGGCACTTGCTCCATTCATCTCAGTTGCTTCCAATTGGTGTAATAGTGACTTGGTCAGCGGCACCTGGCTTGCTACTTGCCGCGATTTTGCCACGGCTGTTGGTAATTACCATCATGGTAACTCCGCGGTTTGATTGGCCAGTATAGTCACTGAAAACAGTGTTCATTCTGGTGCCCCACAAGTGACTGGTACATAGGAAGGTGTCATTGCGTTTGCTAACGGAATACGGGCCAGAGAATCGCAACTTAAGCGATTGTCACATCTCATCAAGTCTGGAAGTGGAACTGAAATTCATGCATGATCTGACAACCGCTTAAGTCACGGGGTGATTGAATTGCGGTTCTCCTGTTCAGAGTCCGTTGAGGTAATGAGGTCCGTAAGTGATAATTACTAAGACGGCAGAGTTGTTACTTGAAGAGTGCCCGAATGAGCACTGTTTTCAATGACTACACCGGTAAACCGAGCTGCGGAGTTATCGTTACGACACCCATCAACAGCGGCGGTGAAATTGTGGCAAGTGCTAATTCATATGCGGACGACCAGGCCGTTGTCGAACCAAGTGAAAATATTTACGATGAATGAAACAAATAGTAGATTTTGGTTGTGTAATCACTAGGGCCTACTAATGGGACAGCACGTTTTTTCCGATACCATTTATCTTTTACTGTCTATCCTGGGGCATTCGATAGTGGATCAGAGATTATATGCGTAACTATTTATTAAACATACATGAGTCCACGATTTTCCTGACTTAAGATGACTTATACAAGGTAGGACGTTCATGAAATTGCTTTTAAATATACGCCTGCATTTCACAGCATACAAAATTGCTGCCATGCAGCTTCCACTGCACGCCCACTTAACTGACCTCCAAAACTTTATCCCTGAGGCTTTGATGAAAAATTGGGTTATTTTATTTTATTGAATTCTTTTTCTTTTTTGCCTTGTTGTGATACCCTAGCAATTTACTCACCTCCTTTGTTATGTAACGCTTCCAAAGCAGCGCATAGGCATACACATATTTGTTCTAATCAGGCAGCAAACTTTGAAAAAGAAATAGGAGAAACGGCAGTCTGCAGGATTGGAATGATGTCGGGTTAACTTTTTTGGTATTTCTTACGCTGACAGTCGTTTTTTGAAGTTTGTGCACGAAGCAAATCGAAAGCATCAATAAAAGTATTAATAATATCGAAAGAGGAGGAGGCGTTCACCGGGAGAGCTTTATTAGGGGTCTGACATTCCAAATAGTTATTTCGCCTACTCATCTCCAGCGGCCATGAAATCAAGCGCGCAGCCCTACTTGTGTGGCGCGGGCCGCCAATGCTGCCTGTCTGGCTGCACCCGACCCGCATGTCACCGTGACCTGAATCGCCCCCCCTCGTTGATCTCAGTGTTGTTGACGGCCCCGGTTGTCCCGCGCCTTTTTGTCCCCCGTCAAGAAGCTTCGTAAAACCAGAAAGGGAGCATTGACAGAGCAGCCGGTGGAGATCGAGGCTTCTTGAACCTACCTTGCTATATGATCATCGCCTCGGCCTACGATCTCAACGGCGTCAAAGTTGAAAATGTGTCTCATTTACGCGGCATGGGTTGCTACCTCCGACTTTGGAGCTAGCCTTCTTACAGCCTACTTATGTGCGTACATTCGCGTTTATGGACGTCGGCCGGTTTCCCAACTTAGTTGCACATTCTGCAGCTGCACTGGAGTCGGCAGACAACGGCGGACATTCACTTAGGGATAGGGACTTTTGGCCGTATCATATGCCGGCGGATCATTGAGTCAGGCCTGTGAGCAACTCTTTTTCCGAGTGGCGCGAGTGATCTAGCCATCTGAAGCAGTAATTAGGCAAACTGCGAAATAAAAGAGGGTTGAGGACACAACGTTTAATTTGTTTTAAAGCGACATCGTAAATCCCACGGAACGTACAGAACGTAGTTTCAGTTTACAAACCAGGCGTTAAAAGCCGCATCGAACTTAGCAGATAAAACAGGGGAATATGATTAGAAGACAATGATAGTATTTCAAGTTTTGTCGCAACTCCGAATCGTCCCAGACTGCTATTTCATAGCTTTCTTAAATGCACATCATGCTATACGTTTAAAGATATTAAATCCGTGATAGGCTGCTTGCACTTAAGTGCCATTAGGGTCTTCTTATGACTAACGTGCCATTTAAGTGTAGATATCTGAGCTACTGTAATCTTGCCTACAGAAAAAAAGTAGTTTTTCATTGTTCCGTAGCACTAGTTGGAAAATTAATTGTAGCCTGTGAGAGACTGACGAACCAGTGCTTTTGACCTTATCTCGTTTCATTTCTCTGGCCAGTAAATGTTGGTTTATGAGTGGCGGGATATTTTAAAAGAGATCTAATTATTTTTACAGTGACGATAGCTGGTCGTTAATTTTCAGATAAAATCCAACAATTATGAAGGCCGCAGTAAAACTGATCGTAGCCTAGAGCTTGTCGATAGGCACTTACGATCATGTACGCAAAATGGCCTAATGCAAAGGAAGTATTACATTAATGGTCATGTCAGAAACGGTAAGTGTATCTAAAAATAAATAACCACTTATGAGTGACGATTTCAGTTAGCGGCCATATAAAGTAAGGGGTTCAGTAGAGCGTCATAGCTTAGAAAACCTTTGTTTCCTCCTTGAAACACGTTAAAATACAAAACAGATAAGGATAAGTACAATAATTATTTTTATCACTGTGACCTGGGTAATGTGTACCCGATGTTTGATTTGTGTTTTGTAAACCTCTGTCATAGAGCCCTAGGCGCATCGAATTTTTTGCTTGCGCTGTTCGTTTAAGTTACTTCCACAAAAAAATCTGAGAAACGCATAAACGCCTTTCTAAGAAGCATGGATATTTAGATAATTTACCCCGGTAATTTTCCTCCTGACAGTTGTATCACTCGTCGACACTTGTATAGGAGGACAAAGTGAGCCGCCTATATGAAGTGAGACAGGAATATTAAAACATATAAACACTCGGTGTTAAGTTCAAACTTTAAAAAATATAGCAACATCTCAGGTATGCATTATCAGTTCTTTCCATATTTCAGATGACCAAAGACGACTTTCTACTCAGTTAAAAAGTGAAATTGAGTCAATTCGCTCTTCCCTTTCCGAAGTCAAGCAAAAGTGTTATGGCTTACGAAACTTTATTAGCCAGGAGACCCAGGCCTTTGAACGACAACTTGCGGTATGTGCCTTACTGTATGTGCCTTACTGCATTCTGGACAAATAGGATATAAGCATCTAAAAACCTTCTTTGCTTAAGGTAAAACTTTGATCCCCAAAAATGCCTTAGTAGGTCATAATAACTTCGTACAGGTTCCAAAAAGACCGGTTTCTAATTTTAAACCTCTGCTTTAAGAAGGGGGGCAAGGGAAAACATGCAAAGCAGGGTTTGTGAGATGGTGCGACGTGAGTCTTGCAAATTATTGCTTTGTTTCTTTGGATTGTCGCAAAGCCTAGAGTATGAAGATCATATTTTCGGTCTCACCATATCCTTTCGAAACCGCACTTCTGATTTCAGCAACATTTATTGCAGGTACAACTAAGGAAGTATGATAAAAAGAAGGGTCTGCGTCTCGTTCAGCCCTTCTTTGATGCTCGCATGCAGAGGGTGCGATCCGACAGGCAAGCCCTAGATAATGCTTTGGCTGCATACCAAACGACCTGGTCCTCCCTGATTGGCCAACTTGCTGACTTGGAAGGGGTGATTGAGGAGACCGGGAATGATGTCTTGAGGGGCAGATGCCGTATAACTCTGCCTATAGTCAGCGCCCTCGAAGAAAGGCTTCATCTGGCCATCTCCGCAATTGAGTTTTGCTGTGGTAAGTTATCATTCTCTACGAGGACGAGTACTCAATACTTCTACGTCTTTGCTCCCCGTACAGAGATGTAGATCTAGTTGTTTGTATTTTCGGAGAAACAAAAATAGCCAAATTATTGTGAATATTTAAAATTCTTAATTTCGTCAATAAAAGGCCGATGTGAAGGCAAGATGTGAAGGCGATAATGAGTTCTGCATAACTGAATGTCTCAGAGGAACAACGTTTTTCTAATGTCGAACGACTGTAGAGCATTGATCATTGAAAACATTTCGCTAATATGATCAGTGTTTTCATTTTAGAAAACGATCCGTTGTTGCGTAAGTCAGTCTGGCAGCAAGCAGAAAATGAATGGAATTCTGCCGAGTATGAAACGAGGTCAGTCTCAGCTTAGCACACAGTATTCCTGTTTGCCGGTCGTAATAACTTCAAAATTTTTCCTCCAAGGAATAACTGCAACCGGTCTAATGTTTGTTCTAATATTCACCAAACGGGATAAAAAATGCAGAAAATGTGTGGCTGTTTTACTTAAGATTAATGTTCATGTTTCGCATTGCTTGAGAACTTTTGCCCAGAAAGATAGAATAAGAACGATCGCAGTATTTTATTGAAATAAAATCCTTGCATTTTAGCTTGAAATGCAAAGTTGGTACGGTAAAAAGAGTGTTTTACGATGGGTGACTTATACCGTTTAATCCCGCTACTCTCAGATTGTCCCAATATACCCTCACGAGCGTTTAATATCCAATGAATTTTCCAAAATTTCAGAATCAACTTTATGGGAATCGATATGCCGTGGTTTCTGGCTATGTCAGCGCCAGAAGGTTATTCAGATTAGTACAAATACGTTGGTGGTGAAAATTACAGATATTTAAATAACATTTTTAATCTCACGTTCTCGTCTGAATAACTGAGGTTGACCAAGGGCCATCAAACTGCCACCCCATGTCTTGTCAGCCTGAACTCAGGAAAACCATGTAAGACTTTATCGAGCTACAGACAACAATGTGTAATAATTCGATTGACGTGGCGTAGATTGATTGCTGGTCTAAGCATGTGGCAAAATATATTTTAGTGTTCATCAGTAGTCATAGCATGCAGACTTGGTGAATTTTTTGGGAGCGAAGAAATTATTGCAAGCTTGACTTATTATCAGACTCGGCAACAAAGCACTGAACATCTCATCACTCCCTTTTGGTATGCAGCTGTCTATTTTCAAAAGTACAAATTTTCATCCGACATGTTTGGCAGTACCGCCCAACTAAACTCTTCTGAAGCTCCAGCCTGTTGTTTACTTACCCGTCTTGAATATTTTCAAATAAGCGCAACGGATTTTCTTCATCATAACCACTGATTCACTGATCGTTCTTGCAATAGGACATTGGAGGAACAACTTGATCAGCTGTCAGATTTGAAGGAACGCAGTTCGAAACTGAACGGAACAATTTCCACGCTTAAAAGGTGGGGTGAGGCGTCTTTGTCTTTATACACACCTACTGTGCAATCCCTTCCCCAACTGTGAATGCTGCTCAGAATTCTTATTGAAAACTGCATTCTTAATTATCAAGGACAAGGCAGCATTATGTCTTTAGTTTCATTGAAGCTCATTTTTTGAAAAAATGAAAATACAACCCAGCAATCCACCTCCTTTGTCATTGTTGAATAATCTCAGTGCTCCATGACAGTATTTTACTAGGGAATTATGTGACAACTGACGTGAGTGATGACCATGGCGAGTCCTTTGAAATGTATCATACCCTGCGACAGGTCACTCTGCACATAGTTTATCCAACAGAAGCGGCCTAAGTTATATTTGGTTTCAGTTTGAGAGCGTATGAAAAAAGGTAAACAACGTTCTAAGAAACGATTTGAACCTCTTCGGGGCGACCTCTAGTGCAGCGAATATTCAATCTGTCAGTCAGGGTACATCGATCCGCCGCGTCTTACTGACCTTGCATATCGCTGATTCACATGCATGTTAGAGGCATCGTCAGTCTTTAGTACTATATGTTTCATATCGTTTAAGTTACGCACACAAAACAGGAACTTCCAGTTTGCGAATAAAATTTTGACGTTCTGTGTCTCTTTCACTTGTACTGCTTTTCTGCATATATATTTCCTCTCAAGTGATTTGAAAACTAAAAATCTGAAAAAAGATTTATAAAGCAAATGACGCCTGTTATTTTTCAAGTTGTCAAATGATCTTAATTTTCGGGTGTAAATGACCTAAGAAGGCAAATCAGGATTTATGTAAGGGAAGAATTTATCATCATGATAACCACTCGCGTCTTGTTTGGTTTAGCTGTCAATATCAATTTTTCAAATATCACAATAAGTTACGAAATGTACTTAACTACCATCGGGTAACCAACTCAAATTTAGGATTGAATAGAAAAAATTTCGTCATCTATCAGTAATCAGGTCCTCTGAGATCAACCTCAGTGCTCTTAGTATGTCTTAGTGTAGGAGAAACGACGTGACCATTTTCTCGAACTGTCTCTAAACCGGCAGAAATATTCGAAATAATCATTCAACCGGTAGATCCTTCGCCTTTTATTTAAACAGGCTGGCAAAGGTCAATGCAAACACCAGAAACAGCGAACAACACTTACAGCGCCTGCGGTCCCTCGGCGGTGTGCTGAATCCAGGCGCCGCAAATAGTGGGAGCGCAGAACGCAAGCGTCTGCTTTCTACTATAAAGCTCCTTCAGCCGGACCACGAAGAACGAATGCGAAGTATTGAGGTGAGTTACAACTGCGCCCACGTCTTGTCTTGTCATGAAAGTAGCAAACTAAAAGCACCTGACAGCGTTCCTAATTCCTCTTCTCATCAGTGTACACATTGAAAAATAACTGACGATATCGTCATAGGCATGATTGGCAAAGATAGCTGCATGCCAGTTCTGACCTGTATGACGCAACACAGCGGTTTGCGAGAGGAGCCGAGGTTTAAAATCGGGAGCAGATAGCCGTAGAACCAGGCGTTCCAGCTCCTGACTAACAGGCTCACACATTCTTGGCTAGACGATCGTTTCCAAAGGACTCTAGACCGTAACGCCAATTTTTATCATCTCCTGCCATGAGGATAGATCAGCCAGTTTCATTCTTATTCGAATTTGATAAATTTTGCTTGGTATTTTGTACTTAACCAGCCATCACCTTCCCATCCTCTTGCTGTGGCTATACAAATAGATAATACGCAATTGTTCCAAAATTTACAATAAAAAACATGCTAACAAACACCATGAATGCAAGCCCGATCGTTAATTACTATACTAGAAGCAAAGGTTGTGTTACATTGGTTGATTTTTTTCAAGTTCTGAATGCACTTCGCCAGTGCCAATACATTTCGTGATAGTCCTACCGGCGCAAATTTATAAATCCCACTTTTTAAGCTTTGCTCACAGCGACTCTTTTCTGACTTTGCATGTGAGCATCTTCCGCACTCCTTGTGCCAATTATGTCTAGAACGTCGAATATCAACCCAACGCCCAGTCTCGAGTAGGAGAGAAATATCCGAAATGGATCGACCTCACTCTCTCTTCCCCGCCCACGCACCATTGGCTTGTCCGACAGGAGTCGACTAGAACGAAAATAAGCGTAATAACTTAAGTAATTTAAAGTCACCCTCTATCACATATTACAATTTGACTTCGAACAGCGAAGCTAAATTGATATGAAATACATATTTAGAAGGAGCCATTGCGACCCTGCCCGCAGTCCTGTGTAAGATCGACATATTCCGCAAGCCTATAACACTTCAAGCAACGACGTACAAGTGGAGGCGACAGATTCGAGTGTGACAGGTTTTCTGGTGACAAATACGTCAATCTGTCATGAGGATGTGTTTCCCAGCATCAGTCTTACTCTCTCGTCCTCCTCTCATGCACTAGTCGACCTTTCGAGTTACTCAGCATACCGGTAGTGAAAATGAGTGGAATGAAGACCACTGTCTGGCGCGTGTCATACGCATGCGCGACAACAGTTGCTAGTTCGTGCAGACTGGTTGTAACCCGGTAAACGACTGCTGTGGACCGCTGTTGCCTCCTTTTTGGTTCAGTGCGCCTGCGGCCCAGTATAGCTGTGGACGAGGCAGATCACTTGCACGTGACGACCCGCTATCCGAAAACATTTTCTACTTAAATGTATTAAGTAGACCTTTATACTTGGAACAATAAAATGTGGCTGCCTTTCTGTCATATTTCCTGAAAAACAGTTTAACGGTCAAATGCGGAGGCAGCTGTAAGTCGACTCTGCCCTACTCACCTGCCCTCCTTATTGCCATCGACCGAGAATCTCAGTTTCTGCATGACTACGGGCCTTCTTTGGCGTTAAAAGGTGACATAGTAAGGTAATTATTACTTGGCGCACACGTGCATATAGGGGCATGGTAATTTTAGAGGGCAATACAGTATGACTTATTCAGATCTTCAGAAGTTCTGGGGCAAGACAATACATTTAAAAACTTATGGGATAACGAACTCTATCATAATCTAGGAGCAGTTTTATATACTTCGCATTTGTGTGAAACAGGTGCTTTAGCCTCTTCGCGCGCAGAATGTTCCATTAACAGCGTGTGCACGTTGGAAGCGATCTGGTATTAGTGTTATGGCTCAGAGGCACTTGAGACCGGCGAGCTGCGCTTTTGCTCTGAGAGCGTCGATGCGGTTGATCCTGCAGATTGCCGTTCCAGGCTTAACTGTTCTTCTCAAGGCCGGTCGATCCTTGGTGGGGTACTCCCAGGTCAACGAATTGATTTGTAGATCCTTAACCGAGGTCTGTAGGCTGTCCTTGTGGCGTCGTTATTGTCTGCCTTGTCGGCGAGCATTCGCAACGACGTCACCGTCGAAACGTCGTTTTAGTGAGCGTTTGTTGTCCATGCTCATGAGGTGTCCGCTCCATCGCAGTTGCGGTAGCCCTAACGTATGTGGGTTCTGAGGATTCCTGTCTGTTCCAATACTTCCTTTCCCGGGTTCCTGTGCGCCATCTCATCTTTAGTATTTGGCGAAGACAGCCGAGGGAGGAAGTGATTGCGTTTCGTGACTTTATTGACGTAGATGGTCCATGTCTTTGCCCCGCATGGTACCGATGTTAGGACTACTGCCCTGTACGGTTCGAGCTCCGTGACGGTTTCAGAAGGAAACTTGCATCCGACAGAAGGTGTGTTTGTTTGGTCTAAGATCTAGCGATTAATTAAAGTCCATATTACAACTTTCACCGGTAAAAAGCTACGCCAGGCATCCATGAATGTAAAAAATTTGGCCAGTTTAAAATTCTTATCGATGTCGTTTTCCTTCTAATCAAAGTCTAAACCGACTGGGTTTTGGTAATACGCAGCCTTGTAGCCTATAAGGGAGAGTATTTGTTAGGTTCTTTCAGATAGATCTGAAAGAACATAATAAAATGAGCAATAACCAGTAAGCAATAGGCATGGGGGTTAATAGTTATTTATACCACACCATCGAACATTATTTTACGGCTGTACATGAAAAACCGTAAAGAATGCGTACTGTAGGTTGCAGTTTGTAGCACGTTCCACTCATGGTTTACATTATCTTTCGAAAATCTTACTCGCAAGTGCTTTTGTGGAAGCTGTCTGCGCTTCAGGTGAGCACGCATTTGCTCGAATGGAAATTTGAATTCCGAAATGTTTGCATCGTACAAACTCTCAGTTTTCCTGCTATGTCTTTTTGACTTTTTAATCCAAAAAACCGTATTTCACACCTTGTTCTGAGCATATTCATTGACCACGCTGATACTTGTTTTTCCTGCGTTTCGAGGTGCCAGGATTAACAGTTGCCGTATCTCACTGTTCCACTTCGTTCCGTGGCGCCTATGACAGTTTTGCTTTTTGGTGTATGAGCTTCATTCTGCAGTTGTTTTGATTCGGTGTACAGCTGATTATGAAGCTTTTGGCAAGACCAAAACCATTTCATGTTGTTCAGGGGAAAAAACATCCAGTGAGATTTATGCTTATGTGAAAGACGTGGTCTTTCATGTCCAAATAAGAGCAGGCGGTCTTTTGCTGTAAACAAGCACAGATGGAATGACAAATAGTTAGAACTTAGGGATACAGTCTCACTTGCTCAGAAAATGGGCATTCCTTTCAAAACTGACCTTGTCCACTTAGCGTACCTCTGAGATCCAATGAATATTTGCGAATTGCTTACAGTACATAGAACAAACAGCTTTCGGAACTTTGCTTATTGGAGTTTGGCTGCCAAAGTTTTTGTCCAGTATTTGATCCGTCCCCTTTAAATCATCATACAATCGCCTATGTTCATTGTTTGTACCACAAAGAATTACGGTATCATCTCCTACTAATGCATTTTACGATAATACGCTTCATTTTCGAAATCAGATTCAAGATGCACTAAGAGAACGCCGAAAACGCGTATTCCGTGATCCGCCGGTGATTCGTGCACCAGCAAAAGCTCTCCTTCTCAACGGGATACATATATCACCGATATGGCCGGATGACTCACAAACCAAAAGGCCTGCTCATAACGCCATCCTAGACCACAAAATTGAAAGCGGTATGACAGCCGCTGGTGTTCGCACTGCGCCTGGCTGTCCAAGGCAAAGACCAAAACAAACAAGGCCAGAAGATGCGATCAGACACACCCCTGACGACAGCTTTGATTCTGGCGATGCAGGTGAACCAAATACAACTGCCAATCTGCCTCCACCCCTTCGTACACCCTGCATTCTTCCGGCCAATTGTGTCGATCAACTGCCCAGAGACAGTTCCTCAAGTAGTTCACAGGCTACAAATATCAAATCCACTCCCGGGTTGCTAAAGCGCAGCGGCATGAAGTCGAAAGGAGGTATGAATGTTACCTTTAATACTCGCGTCAAAGTTGACGATGGCTCCCAAGAGGTACTACTGAACTGCATCCTCGACGATGACCAACCAGAGTATTTCCAGGAGGTCAAGGTCATTCCACGCGGTGGCAAATCCGTCGAAACCAAACAGCAGGGTTTTCGTAAATGCGGGGAGGCAGGTGGAGACTGCTCGTCACCCACCGAAAAGACCAAGTCTGCTGACGAAGCATGCTGGGAATCCGGTGACGAAATGCATACCGCCGGCGTCACCGACGAGGAAAATATTACCGCCTCCTCTCCGCAGAAATCTCACAACAAGAGTTTGTTTTCGCGGCTAGCTGCAGAGCTGCCATCTCACAGTGAACTTCCACCGGCTCCACCACCAAGGCTAAGCAGTAAATTAGCTGCCTCTCTTAGTCGCAAGCCGGACGGTGACTCAGTGGATGGAAAACATTTGTTAAAATATGAGAACATAGACAGTTTCCTCGTGACTCTAGATAGTCAGAACAGCCGCATGAGCAGTGAACAGTCAAGTCATCCCGACAACGAAAGAACGCCAACCGAATAGTAAGTCTAGAATTCATATAATGTAATTCTTCAGTCTTGTGACATTAACCTGCAAATTGTTCCCAACCACTCTCAGAACTACGATTAGTGACCAATTTGATGAAGGCTCACGAGCTGTGTACTAAAATCTATGTAGCGAACGAACCGCCCACCCCGCATCCACAAACGTTATTTTAAGTTATAGAAACCACCGATCTTTAAAAGAAGGCACAATTTGGTTTGAGAAATGTGTAGGGCTCACTGGATCCGGTGAGCCCGATACACCTCCCAGACTGTCGACCCGGATCTCTTTCGTTTGCTAACCTGAACGGTTTGGTATGCACAAAACACTTCATAAGCTGGGTCATCTACTGTAATGCCATTCTGAAAGTCAGCGAAATAATTGCTCAAAAGCGTAACGGTGAAAATATTCGTCGCGAAAGACTGAATTGCTTCAATAAAATTAATAAGGCTGTTTATGGCATGGCAAGTTGAGAGACAATTTCCCAAAGGTATAGTACTTAAAGAACGCGGACAAGATAAACTTTTTAAAAAGAAACTGCAAGGGCGCCTTGGCAATGCAAATACAGTTGTAGGGTGTCGGGCTGTCACACGAAGTCTTATAAGGAAAATATTTCTGAATTTCCAAACTTTAGGATCCGTCGTCCACGAAGAACCATTCCAGAATAAGAGGTGGAGTACATTTTTTTTCACAAAAAACTTTCAGTCTGCTCTGAAGCTCAAGTGCAATAATGATCAGGAGTTCGTTTTACCTTATTTCGACCATTCGACCGTTGTTATTGAAGGTGTCCACGGTTTGAGCCAGAGGAGTGTGAGCTCATGAACGCCGTCTTGCTCGTGATAAACTTATAGGGATATTAGACTCGCGCAATATCTGCCGCGCTGTCGCTGCCTCACTAACCTGGGCTTGGTGCCAGGACGAAGTCAATAAGCCGGGAGGCGAGGCCCATAATTGACCAGGGTTGCACAGAAGCACCAAGGGGTGGCTCAGATCCCAAGTGAGTGGGAGTGCCATAGATGCCACATTAAGAAGAGCCATCGGAATCTAGCTCTCCGTCCTAGGGGAGGGGAGGGCAGTTATTCCGTCAGCTGGCAGCCTCCCAAACCACGGTCTTTAGCGCTGCCTGGTATTTTGAAAGCGCGTCAGATTGTTTACAGCAGGGAATATGCCCTGAGTATCGTAGTGAGGGCTTGCACTCCTTGGAGTCAGCCTCTATTTCCTCTCCCGGTCACGAGTCCAATCAGCGGTCTGGTTCTGAAACTGAGCGAAGTGACTGCTAAAAGCTACTCGTCTCCCCTCACCGCACGCGGACTGGCCCCATACAACATGTCATGTTTGCAAACAGGGGGAAAATCAGCCATAGCTCTTGCATGCGTGAGTGAAATACATGCGACGTTGCGAAGCAGCAATGCAGCCGGACTCACAATCCACCTGTAAGCGACTCCATACAAGCAAAAACATGGCCGACCGCGAAGTCCAATTTATATCGTCGGCTGAAAACCTTCTAACCCGAAAAGTTTAGCCTGTAGGCTTAATTTGAGGCGCATTAGATTTAGTATATGGAAGAATGTTCTGAAATGTTGTGAAGTTGGGGTTTCTAAAGTCGGTCTAACTCTTCCTCCTCTCTCTTTCGTTCGAGGGCCGATTGTTCGAACCAGACGTTCAACTGATGCTAGAATTGAGCGCAGTGGCTAACGACGCTAAAAACGGTCCCTTAATGAGGGTAATACACGGCCTGGTCTCCGGCACAACGGAGCAGGTCTTCGCACAGCGGGGTGGGCTGCTTAAACCTCACATGCATTAGAGAACCCCAGAGGCCACCTGGAGAGTGAGCCGAAGAACGCGCTCCTAACTTAAGTGAGAGGTGTGTAGTCTGTGCCTGTGGTAGGTGATGGGGGACGGGTTCGCGTGTGATGTATGGGCTGTTGCAGAACATTGTGGAGATGGGGCTTTACCTGTAGTGGTTTACCGCAGATGTCCATGGAGACGCGTGTTACCTAGTAGACCACTGAGGTAGCTGAATGGGCATGACCATTTTGGCCAGTTAAGGCGTATGCGGCAAGTGCTTTTGGGTCTCCTGACACTGGTTCGCCAATCTCTGCGCTATGGGTTCGCAAGTGAATAACCAGGCGGTTTCGTGAACTATATGTACGGTGGCCATGTGAGCGACATAGGTTAGGAGCTGCTTAGATGGAAGCAGTGTTGACGCTGCTAATTGCGGCGACGCTGTTGGAAGGGACGTTGGCCATGTTGAAGGTGAGAGAGTTATGGGATATGTAAGGTAAACCTGGCGTGTTTACACTGCGTCAGTCCACGTAGGTATTATTTTCCAGTCGGGGGCTAGGGGATGGCTGTGTCAGAGACAGTGGATGGGCCTTCAAGGATGGTAATCATGTGTTCAACCCAACGCTTCAGACTTTGTGATTTTTCTTTGAGGAGTGCTGTTCCACCCGAACTGAACAGCGGTGGGATTCGTTGGGTGTAGAGGTGGTAGACTTCCTTAATGAAGGTGAAGAAATTTTTCATTTCGTTACGGCTTGTATATCTTTGTTTTTTCTGGACTTTGCGATCCACCTAGGTGTCATACATCTCTTCCAGTCACACTTGGACCAAGCGACGACATCTGAAGAAGGTCCCTTCCTTTACGTTGGGACCGCGGTCATCGTGGACTTTGTGCAATCGACTCATCTCTGAGTGGATTGCGGATTACTTCGTAGTCATCGTCGTACCACTTGCGGTTTTTACGGCATGGGCATCAAGAACATTCAGGATAGTGAAGTGGAGGAAATTTCGTAGTTGGTGCCAACACCTTTAAAGGGTACCGCTGTCAACCAGTCTGAAGTTCTTCCATGCGACTGGTCAGTTGATTAATAAAATCCGAGCGATGTGCAAGCCAAATCCACATAATAGTATATAACTTACTCGGTGGTAGCTTACTTTGTGGTCTCTTAAGAGGTTGGAGTGAAATTCCCATCTTGGGGATTAGGACACGATGATCTTTCCTGACGTCAACATCGTAGATCGCCATTTTCATGAGCACGTTGTGTCGGTCTCGTCGACGGATGAGAGCGTAATCCAACAGTTTGACAGCACCGCGAACAGGGATGCATCCACTTTGCAATATTCTGCGTCGGAGGGGGGGGGGGCAGAACACATTAGTGAGGAGAATAGGGGTGTTTTAAGCAGTTTTGGAGAATCATGAGGCCGTTGTCGTTGCAGCCACCGATTCCGTGGGGACTAAGCGCACACCTCCAGGCAGCGTAGTCTGTTTCAAGAGGGACATTGAAGTCACTAAGAACAAGCATCTTGTCTGTCACCAATATGGTCGCCAGGTAGACGTGCATGTCTACGTAGAACGTGTTCCTCGCCTCGTCAAAGTTAGCCATGGGGGAGCGTAGGCGCTGATGGCGCTGCTGACGAATTTAGCCCCCTGAAGAGGCACGTATAAGATCATGAAACGGTCGTTGGTGAACTGAGACAGACAGGCAATCCTCATACGATGTCGTGTCAAGTGACAATAGCAATGCGGGCGCCATGTCACTGTGTCTTTGGGCGGCCGCTCCAGAAGAAGGCGTAGCTGACATCCACGTCCTCCGGCTGGTCTTATTCAGAGAAACCGTTTCGTTGAGGGCAGCTACCTCCACCTTGTGGCATGCCAACTCTCGATTGACCACTGTCGTCCTTCCCTCCGGTCGGTCGCTCCGCCGATTGTTCAAGAGGGAATGAACACTCTAGGTGGCCTGTGAGTAGCGGTATTCTAGCAGTTAATACGGTAGGGCAGAGGGGATGAGGGTAGGAGTTACTGTTTTTGTGTTGTTTTGACCGTGAGCTGTATATCTGAGGGCTATGGTATACTTGCAGGTGGCCTGCACCTTCGACTGTGATCAGAGTCCCTCTGGCAGCCCGTGAGAAGGAGCGGAGAGGACGGGGACGATGGTCGCAGTTTGTTCGACCGGTTCGACCGTAATATTTTCGTCTGGGTGCCACGGTCAGTGTGTAGGTGGAGTGATCCAATATTTGTTTAGAGCACACTTTATGGCTCTATACCCACAGGGGAGTAAACAGTGATGCCTATGAATGGGTCTGCTGACACATCCCAGGCGGCTGCCAAACTCCTCTATTGGTCACGACTTTGTTTAGTGGAAGAGCGGCCCCATTTAGCCTGGGTCGCCCTCGGAACTGCACGTCGATCTCTCCGTAGAACTTTCAAAATGTGATGGAGGGGAAGGGGAGCAGAATTACCCGGTGTGAAGACACAAACAACAGCGGATACCTTCATCTGGCTTGGCCCCCAGGTCGAGGCGGTTATCGGGTGTGGTCACTAGGCAGAACCTAGCTTCGAGGGGCCATAGATGAGAATCGGGTGCCAGCTGGTGGCTCTGTGGAGTAGCCACCACCTGCACTAGGCAGATGATTAAATTTATCATATCCTGCACGTTGGACCCTATAACTTGACACTCCCTTCGTCCCGGTTTACTCAGTACAGTAATTACCAGAGTAGCTGTATATTACTATCATGATGCAATCATTCCTTTTTACCTCCTTTATTACTTGGCATTGTCATAAAGTGGTAACTTTACACTGCTATTGCAGAAACAAAGTGGGATTTACTATTATGAAATAAGACTACATACAAGGAGATTTTTAAAGCGGAGACATTTAGTTGCTCAACGTTGTTTGACCAAAGTCCTCCATTTTAGGCAAGGTGGACTCGTTTACCATCCATTGAGGTATAGTAAATATCTATCACGGTTGTGTCGGTGCAGAAAATGGATTCGTCAAATCTCTTCATTCGACAAATTTGAACTGACGACAATTCAACACCATAAGACTAAGGAAGTAAATCCTACGCTTATGACTGTTTAGATAATAGAGTCTTCCGAAACCAGTCTTAAGTAAAGTGAATCCAAGATTTCGAATGCGGTGCCACAGTGCTGGACGTGCATTCTCGCTACCAATGTGCAAAGGTCTACTATCTTAAGATATTCCGCGCATACAAGTGACTTCGACAACAAATTTCGCTAATAATATCCATTGAAGTCGGACGGACCAGCAGTTAGATGTTTGATAGCGAAAGGCTGATGGTGTTATAAGTTAGTTATTGTTACGTTGTGCTTGTCCTTAGCGTAAAAATTGAATTGTCTAGGCCAAGGGTGGAGGGATTTGCATCCTGGATATAAGGAAAACTTTCGATAATTCAAAATAGAAATTCGTGATTAAATATCCAACTTAGTTACAAGCAACTGGACTGTTAATTCGACCTCTGTTTATGTTCCTCCAGAATATTTTGTCAGAAAGTATCAGACGAAAATTTCGAAGGACATGGGCTTAGATGTCTTCGTGTTATAGGTGGCCTTGCGCTACAATCTAAGGAAGTTAAGGTCGTGGTTAGGGCTACAGCTAGAGTTTAGAACAGGGTTTAGACGCAGAGATAGCGGCCGCCCTGGAACTTAGCTGAAGGTGACCCGTAGCAGGGAGTATCTTATTCCAGTTTTCTACCAAAAACGTATACAATTGATCTTGAATATATCGCTGGTTCTTAAAACAGTAAGACAGTTTGATAATGCTAAGTAGAGAATGTTTAAACAAAAATGGCAGGTTAATTTTCACTGGTAAAGATTAACTAGGATGGATTAATTTAAAAACCATTATAATGTGACAACCCGTTGTTTTCAATGAACGCTGTATTAGATCTCAGGATCAAGTACAAAATGCTCTCAAATCTGACTCAGAGTTTCATATTAATGGGGTAACCAACATATCCAGTGTGGACATGCGAAATGAGCTGGTAAGAGCAAATCCTAAATTCGATGGTAAATGGATAATGTTGTTTTCGCAGTTGTTTAGCGGGTTTACAGTGATGTTACTGAAGCACTATCACGATAATGGTTCGGAACGCTATAGGAACTAAAACTCAGAATTCGGAAAAAAGGAACCGAGGTGTTGTCCGGAGGTGCCTTGAATTTATAGGATAACGTTTGCGATTTTGACGCCTGTCTACAGTTAACACCCTCAGAAGACCGAAGGTAAAATATATACTCCTGTACTTTTTTTCAGTAAAACTTCTTAACAACTGGTGTTTTTTACGATATGAGATCTTTACCATAGGGTTTTCTTTATCTTTCACAATATACTCCATTTAGTCCGTCCAGACCCTTTCAAGGGTTCGCAGTGTTTAACCGTAAAAGAAATTTATGTCAGTTCTGTTTTGTATTAAGGCTCTACTTTTGGTCGTATAACAAGGTATTTTAAAAAGCAGAACCCCTACATTGAAAGTAGGGGAAAAATACACAAGTTTACAGGCTGCAGTAATATACTTTGCCACAAAAAACTTTAAAAATGTGTCATTGAAAGATATAAACCTAAAGTTTTTTTGCGGTCAAATAGCAATCACAATCTCGATTTCAACCGGCCAAGCACGGGGAAAATATGAACTGTGTCCCTTAGCTATATACGGTAACTTTTGCTATTCACTAAGCCTTTGCGTTTATTCTACCAAGCACTATACTTAAACACCATGCCTAAAAATCATCTAATTTTTTGATTTCAGGCGCAAGAATCCCCACGATGAGAGTTCTACCAATTATTCTGCTCAAGCTATGACGTTTCCACGGTTGTGACTACCTCTCTTAAGTTTAAACCTACATGGAACCTCGAAAAAGGCCAATTATTCCATGCTGTACAAAATAACATCCTTCGGTAAAGAACTCAGTCTTCGGACCCACTAAATGCTGACTCCTCTAGTTTTGTAAATCATCCCCACCTTTTCTGATTTTAACCAAGCATAACGCTAGCCTTGCCTGTCAAATCGTCCTTCCTGTTTATTGTGTACTTCTCCGCACATATCACAATCTGTTCCTCCATTTTTGTGATCTGTTAGGCTGTAAAGTATATTAGAAACATCTGATCGTTGAGTTATAATCTTCTTTTTTTCAAGGGGAACGTACCTAAGACTCCTGGAACTTAGTTCGCCAATACGGTATGAACAAGAGGAAAGGCGGATAGAAATGAGCAAAAGTATCCATCACACCAAAAGAGGAAAGCTTCAGTTAAATAAAGCAATAGCAGTGACATGCAGACCCTTCTACCGCTTCTGTGGAAGACAGCCAAACATCCCTACATGGGTATTTCTACAAAGTGCGCCGTTGGAATCCGTAAAACGTTGCTGACGCAAATGGGTATATGTGACTGTTGTGGCGCCTAGCGTTCGAAGTGCAAACTGTTGAATGTGAAACTCTTCAAGAATTCTATGTGCTAATGCTGGTCTTACACATTCGTGGACGTCAGGGCGTCTGTCAACTACCTCACTCAGCCAAGTTTCCCCAACACTATGACAAATTATTTTGGCGGTTTCAGCTCGATTCGCCTTCTTATACTGTGCGGAGTGACTACTAGAGTCATCTGTTAAGGAATGACTTATGCATTCTAATTAGGTTAATTAGTTTAATCACTCAGACTTATGACCGCTAGCGAGTCTTTGTTTCTAGTGTGATACATCTGGAGAATTCGCACCTCCGTCGCTTTGGAATTGCACGCAAATGTGGACCTCAAGCTGGCACCCCGCCTTCAGAACAAGAATGCGTTATCTATTTTTAAACTTCCAAGCCCTCATTCTAGTTTATTTAGAACATTTTTGCTTTTGCGGATTTTGTCTGATTGCAATCCTAACTCCGCGACCTCAGGGAATGATACCATGCGCCTGGTACTTATGTCTTCTGACGTTAAACATACATTCAAGTTTGCTTCATCCGTCATGCGTTCTTGTTTTATCTTGAATATCTGTCGGGGGACTATCTCGCTGTTACAACGTATTATGTATCCACTTCAGGAAAAACGCACAGAGTGTGAGAACACATGAGGCAGATCGGATGCAGTAAGTAACTGAAGAAAACGCGAAATATTCTAAAACTGTAATTCAGAATCATACATTTTAAGCATCAGCTTTTTACTAAGGAGAGAATGCAGCAGATGTTAGTTTACTATTGCGTGATTCAAGCCGAAACAAGGAATTAACAAACCGACGTCTAATAAGAAGGGATTCTAAGTGCGGTGGCTACTTGCACTTGCAACTGTCCAGAAAGTGCAGCAGGCATATGAATAGACTTGCACTAAAAATGTAAACAAATGAACACAGCAGATGCATAGCAGCTAGGCCGCGACACAATGAACAGCTGGGTTCGATGCAGGTCAAAATCTCACGTCACATTCTAAATTATAGCTGAAGAAAGGTTTTCAGCGTTCTGTCTGTGCAGCTGACAAATTTATCGTCGTTTAGTTGACGTCATCTATTGGAAGCCTAATAGATCCTTCCATGTTGATTGATTTTGTCCCCATAATCTGATCGTTAGAATCTACCTCGGTGTTTATGTACTATTAGTCATGCATATTTATTTAACTATGTAGTGTCCCTTTGCAGAGAATTTGCTTATATGTCCGGAAAAAGATTCATACATGATATTTGAAAAGAGCTGCAACGAACGGTATGGGCACAGAAGGAGGACGACAGTCTTGATAGATAATAGCGAAGTCATTCGCTTTCAAGCCGCAAAATAACACATATATTAACAGTCCTCTGTCACTGTACATCAAACCAAGGTGAACAGGGAATCGCTTAAAAATATGCGAAATAAGTACCTGTTTTAAAGGCAAATATTGGGGAAGAAAACTCTTCATACCAGAGATTTCCAAAGTTGGTTTTTATAGTTAAAATCTCGTTTAGCGTTTAAGTAACGTCGGGTTAGCTCCTAGCTTGTCAACAACTGATAACAAGCTAATAACGGTCATTCCGACTTTTCCTGTCTACGTCAGTATTTTTCCCACACAACCATTTGCTAATCTAAAATATATATAAGAATTCTCACACCTGAAGTCAGGTCTCGCTGTCATTTACGTAACCAAAATATACTAAAATGTTAAGTATAAGTATAGAGATTGGGATCATTATTGCGGGCGCTTTATCGATAGCTGCACAGATCGTTCAGACGTTAGTATTACATTCTTACGAACTAGACGTTCTGTATGGAGTTGACAAACTTTGAATTGAAAGACTGCACGAAATGTGTATTAAAAGTTCACTTCGCACTAATCTGTCTGCTTAAGCTAATTAGTTTGGATAATGATTAATTCATATCAGTAATTAATCGGTCCATCTGTGGATCATCAGTAGTGGTTAATTTTATTTGATATCGCATCACAGAAGTATGCACTGGTGAGAAAGAGATGGGTTCGTAGGATTCTCACTGTAACGTCGGCATCAGAGACAGTCGATAGTAACGATGATTAACATATAGGGGGCGCAGCATTTGGGGGATGCGGTAGCCGAGCGACTACATAGCTACCAATATTAGCAGCTTCCTCACTACCGAGATTAATGCACTGAATGCCTGCCCGTCCGTATTCGAGTGGTTAAGCACAGCAATTTCGTCACCGGTGTTGGTTAGCGACGTAAGAACTGCTCTGAAATCTGACCTGTTGGTACACTCACTATAAGCGCCGTCCGCCCTCACCCTCGCGTTTTGACAAATCTTCTATCCGGGCATATTTTGACGCTGAATATGACAATATGCTGGTTTTCATTCCGTTTTCGCTTCAAAATTCGAGAGAACATGGCAAAATGCTCATCAATAACAAAGGAAACAGCAACAGTAACAGCAGCTAAACAACCATCGACGCCCAGATGACGCTAATCTTAGAAAAATGCCTTCCACACTAATATAAACCATGCTTTATTTTGTCCAATGGGATATTTTTCGCTTCTCCTTCACAGACTTTTGTTAGTATTAAATTCCTGAATCAGTGTTTTGCAAATGAAGAAACGAAAGCCGACTTTTTGAAATATCAGCATAAAGACGTGAAAACGATCAAGAAAGTATTCATTGTTGTGTATGTTTCCTGTAATTTCTGTAAGGTGATCTGGACCTACCAATGGTCATCCAAATAATGAAAAGCTTAAAAGTCGTTTTCAGTGACTGGAAATCAATGAATGCGGCGCTGAAGTAAATAGGACAAAATTTCACCGAAAGTTAGCGCGAGGAGGGTAAATGCACGATGGCAAGAATGGTCATGTGTTGGAATTTTCCCAATGGAAATTCCTATAAGTTTGCCTAACGCATTCCGTAGGAGCACAGGCTAGGCATTGAAGGAGATATAAGCAAGACCGCAAAAACTCTCAACAATGTCGTCAGTCACTGGTTTTTAGAAAAAGGCCAAAGTTTTTCTAGATTTATCAAGATGACGTATGAGCTATGCAGGCATGTGACGCATACGCGTAAATTCGCCACGGGGATAATGCCCTCGTGATAGCTGTATTTATGTGCCGTCTGACTAGTTCGCTCTCTGCGTCTCTTGCAAAAGGCAATCTTATGAATACCTCTTTCTTTTCTGCAGTCACAACAGCGAGCTTTGCGGCGCGTTTCCAATATTTCGGAGGATAAATTTATCTGAGTATCCGTTCTCCCGAAGTGTGTTCCGTAGCTGTTGGAGCTCTTATTCGATAGCTTTTTCTGAGCAGGTGCGTCTCACACTAGCCGCCAATCCCCGGACTAAATTTCAGTCGATGTTTAGGGGAACAAAGCTGTGGAAATTAACGTATTGTCCCGTCCAGGTTTTCCTTCGGAACACCCTGCACTGGATAGACTCATCCTCTTGCCTTTGCAGAAGGACATCGAGAAAGACAGTTTCGTTATCTGCTTCGGCCTCTGCAATGAGCTTAAGCGAGCGTTGCGCACAGTTGAACTTTTGAACAAGGCCCTCGGTATCGGTAGTAATATCCGCCACGCAGAAGATATCGTTCACGTACCGACCGTAGAAGACGAGGCCATTAATGGTGTCTTGCAATCTTGTTTTCTCGACTTTGCCCATAACAACATTTGCAAGGAACGGTCTAAGCGGTGAGCCCATTGCCACACCATCTACCGGCCTGTAAAGGTTTAGGAGGGCATCTGTATGGCTGTCGGCGTCGCCCAACCAACAGGATTTGACTCTCAGACTACTTGGACAATAACTGGGGTATGGGATCCATACAAACTAGCGCGCTGGCCTTTTATATACGAACATAGGTGTTTTGGCCTGTGGTCACCTACGATGTCTTGAAATATCATGCGTTATAGAGATTTGCCAAGCCCGGAAAGCAGACGCCCTAATAAAGTGATTTTTGATCTGTTCATTTTTATGAAATTCTTGAAACTGAGAGGCTTGAAAGTGTATTTTAACGAACCATCGCAAATGTGTATAGATTTTATTCTCCTTTAAAATCTTCGGAAAGTAAAAGTTTCATATCTTTCACACTTTCAATCTATCAGGAGCTTCTATCGGTCCGCTACTTTATAGGTCAAGTTGGCACCCTAGTTTCCAACCTGCAGAGCAGAGACTACTAGTCTATCGTGCAGAGACGCCATGTCAAAATGTTTGCACAGTCTCTTCCGACAGTTTAAT